CTATCATACATAGAGTTTTTACAGGTACTATCATACATAGAATTTTTGCAGGTACTATCATACATACAGTTTTTACAGGTACTATCATACATGCGTAACATCAGGAACAACGCTCCAAACAGATTCATGTTTATTTCGAGGTAAGTCAAGTTTTAACGGGATTGTTAGGCTTTAGAGTGAGGATAACTACGCTCATATTTGACATTCGCTGACTCTGTCAATCACCCTGCGGACCGAACACAATAAAATAAGGGACACATTTATAAATAATACATATTAATATAGTTATTAAATGTGTTAGTGCAACTTTTAAGCTTTTAAGTTTTTTTAAACCAATTATATAGTAAAAAGGTTATTGTTTTACAATAGTATATTTGACTACCCCCTAAAGAAAATTAATTTCTGCCCTTGGTTCTTCTCAAAGGTTTTTATAAATAAAAAGCAGATATCTTTGCCCATCTGAAGCAGCAGTGTCAGATGAGTGGACACCAGTGAACAAAAACATACCAGTGGTCTATTTTTATGGTAGCTGCCGTAAAGCAAAGTGTTTTGCCCTTTCGTCCTTGGATTACTAGACTCCAGACAGGCCTGGATGAATATCATACGTGCTCCTGTGACTCACATGCATGGCTGCAACAATAATCTCTTGGATTTTCATTCATGAGTCTGGTTTTTATCTGAGCAGCAACATTATTATTTTTTAAATATGGCAAAGGCAAATCACAATCCTAAATGTTAAATGTCCAAAAACATGCAACGTGTCCTTAAACTTGATGGGTTCATGTAAACATGATGCATGCTTTATATGATTTAATTTGATCAAATCTCAGACACATCTCGAGGAATTTGACATGTTGTCAGATTGGAGCATGTGCGCAGTAAAATAGCCCAAAAATTCACATGCGAATACAAAAACACATAACTTGATGCTTAATAGAAACAAAAATCATATTTTGGGTTTTTTATTGCTAATCGGGAGCGCGCCTGCCACACCGCGCGCGTGTCCGCGTTTCAATGTCACTGGATCGTTTTCAGGCGTTCATGGTAAAAATAATAATAATAATAATAATAATAATACGAGCGTGAAACTTACGGCTGGGTGGGTTTTCACTTGTTTGACGACGACTTTAAATATGGCCGACATGATGAAGCTGCGGATCCAAGACTGAACACCCGCACAATCCTGCAGTCAATCCCTGTCGCTCACGCGCAGCCCCGCACTGGCCCGCAGCCCGGAAGAGCCGGGCTCTTAAAGAACACCTTCACCTACATGATATCACATCATATAACGTGCTTTATTACCAGTGGTGGAGAAAGTACTCAAACACTGTACTTAAGTAAAAGTACAAATAAACAGACAAAAATGTACTCTAGTGAAAGTAGAAATACCACATTAACATTTTTACTTAAGTAAAAGTAAATAAGTGCTTGCTTTTAAAATACTTAAAGTATTAAAAGTAAAAGTACTTGCTGAATGTATTACCTAATGCAATGGTCTACATATCTTTAAGTCTGCGTACCGTATGTATATTTTCTGTAATACATTAATAGTGTTGTTTCATTTTAATGAACGATGCTGCAGATAATACATGTTTTTATTGTGTTTACTCTGTGACACAGTTCACACTTGGACTTGTGATTCTGTGCGTCAGAATTTCAAGGATGACATGCAGAGTTAAATGTCATTAATCAAAATAAGAAAGAGGAATGCTTATACCTTTTAAAGTTTTTATTTAACTCAAATATATATAATTTATATATATTATATATAATTATATAATTTCCCTCTGGGATTAATAAAGTATTTTTGAATTGAATTGAATTGAAATCAAAACCAATGTGTAATTTTAACTGCAGTAAACACATTTAAGTAAAAGTTGCCTGCCTGAACAAAAGGAGCATTAGACACAACTAACAAAGGAATATCTGATCATTTCAACTTCAGTTTGTCATGAACTCAAGTTAAAATACTGTCTAAACCTTGTAATGGGTCAATCCATCCATCCATCCATTTTCTTTACCCGCTTATTCCATTTTGGGTCACGGGGGTCGCTGGGGCCCATGTCCAGCAATCACTGTGCGAGGGGCGGGGTACACCCTGGACGGGTCGCAAGTCCATCACAGGGCCACACAGAGACAAACGAGACAAACAACCTTTCACTCTCTCACTCACACCTAGGGACAATTTAGAGTTACCAATCAGCCTAACATGCATGTTTTTGGACTGTGGGAGGAAACCGGAGTACCCGGAGAAAACCCACGCATGCACAGAGAGAACATGCAAACTCCACCCAGAAAGGCCCCTGGACCGGGGTTTGAACCAAGGACCTGCTCGCTGAGAGGCAGCAGCTCTACCAGTTGTGCCACCGTGCTGTAATGGGTCAATATTGAACAATATTTTAACTTCCTGACACCATTTTTAAAACTTGGACCTGAGTGTCGAGCCATTTGGAGACATCTCTTGTCTCCTAACGTCCATGAACTGACACATTTTAATGTTGCAGCAAGAATTTCTTGTTCAAGTTCAGAATAAGTTGGTTTTCGAAGATTTTTGAGTCCAGTCTGGCTCTTTTGGGAGAGAGAATCTGTCCTGCTGTATTGAAGTCTTTCAATACTCTTTCAATAATCTATCAATAAGGCGCATATCTTCTGACTGACTCTCTTGCGGTGGAATATATTTTGGGTGTGTTAGTGGTGCTGTGGGTGCACCCAGCTCAGTCACATATATACTAGAATATATGTAATTGTCCCAGCTCTTCTTGAAGGCGGGCCTCTCACCATCAGTTACTTTCAAAGTAACAAACAAATCAAAAAGCCGCAGCATGAATGTAACTTGTAATGCAACGCGTTATAGAAATGTAGTGTAGTAGAAAGTTCAGATACTTGATGTAAAATGTAGTGAAGTATAAAGTACCCACATTTAACTCTACTTAAGTAAAGTACAGATACACGAAAAATGTACTTAAGTACAGTAACGAAGTATATGTACTTAGTTACATCCCACCACTGTTTATTACACAGTCTTATTTGACTAATGTGGTTTTGGTCAAATCTCAGAAAATAACGCCTGTAGAGCGATATCGCGAGATGTCACGCTCAGGTTACATATTGAGGATGACTCTCAGCTACTACCTAATCCAATTTTGTCTCGGTGTCAAATGGTAGCCATCTAAAATCCAATTTGCTGTAAACATTTTGTGCCTTAAAATGTCTGAACGATCAAAAATATGAATAAATAAATCACAGCTTGCACACCGGTGTCTTTAAGTGGGTATTAATAATTATTAATACATTTGAAACTCGTAATAAGGAGAAGGATCCAGGCTGGGTACAAAACTGTGTTCCCGAGGGCAGTTTATGATCCAGAGATCTCCACAGCAGCACACACCAGATGCTTAATCTTTTATAGATTTAGAGCAAGCTGCTGCAAACACCCTCCTCTAGAGCACACACATGCAGGTTAGGGGATTCAGAAAACCGGCTTCTCCAATAAAACCAGATCCTCCTCTGCCTCTCGCTGAAATAAAGGCCTGCAGAAGATTTGTTGAAACAGCTCAGGGTACAGGGTCTGAGCTCGGAGGCCCCTCTGGACTGGCTCCACAGCAGGAACAGCAGCTGGAGAGCAGCCTCCCTCTATAAAAAGGCCTGCCTTCTAGCTAATCTTTAGCATTTACTAGCTAGCATTTTACAACATTTAGCTGTTCCTTTGAGCTTTTTGCTAGTTTGTAAAACTGGCTGAATTATAGCCACTCTTTTCTAAGGTCTATTGGAAGTGGCGGCCATCTTGTACATTCAAGCAGCGGTTCAAAAGATATTTTGTGAGCAGAGTCGACATTGAATATTTAGAAGTCAACATTTGTACAAAGACCTCGTGTGATCAGTTAATGCTCAGAATACGCAGCTCCTCATCTGTACATTTCAAAAATTACTTTGTGAACATTTTTATACATTTTGCCCACAGATATTCTAATCACCTCTTACAGAAAGGTTACAATAGCTAGAGTGCAATATAAAAAGTTATTCGACAGAAAGATCAATATCTAAAACTGCAGATGTAAAGATGAAACCGATTGATTTGTACTTGTTTTTCTTTTAAATTATTGTAACTTTTTACTTCTAAAATGTCCAGAAACATTTGCTTTAAATACAGATGAATCTCTTTGTCAATGACATAACGAAAGCTGGACATTTAAAGAAAACAGGACGAGTTAAATGAGAAGTTTGGCAAATAAAAAAAAAAAAAGATCATGTAAATGGAAATATTTGAAACTTAATTTGTTTTATTAGATGAACACCTGAACGCCGTCAAAAATGCAACCTTAGTGGACGGAATTAAAAGAAAGATCCACTCTGGAATTAAACGACAAAAATATATATTTAAGTTTCATTTCACAATGACAGACACTAAAAGCATACAAATCACTTTGCAACGGACACACTAATGTATTAACTCACACAGAGGACAGTTTATAATCTTATATTTATGTGGACAGAACCTGAGAGAACAGAACATTCCCAGCATCCAAACAGAGCCGAGAAACATCGTGTAGAAAAATAAGTTTTGATCCATTAGCATTTCTAAATGTACTAAAACTAGAGGTTAGTAAAAAAAAAAAAAAAACACACTCTCCATTCACATGCACACATACAAGGAAAAGCGGCCCAACACTGAACCCAGAATAACAAACCCTCTGCTGGAAGTGCATAGAAGTCCACCAGATACAACTCCTGGAATAATTCTGCCTCAGAGCATCGACAGAACCAAAACTAAACGTAACAAGTTGGTTGTTTTTTTTTTTTAGCTTATGCTGCAGATAACTGAAAAAAAAGACAAACATAGAAAATACTACTCTCAAATTTACAAGTACAAAAAAAGTGAATATATTTATTTATATAAAAAAATAATCGCAACTCAAAAGTAGCAGTTCGATTTGTGCAAACACGTCTACCAGGACTTAAGCTACACGGATCTCGTCAGGGTGGCAGAACCAACAGAACCAAACTCTAAGGATGACACATCTATACCACTAAAACTGGTTAGGTAGTCAACTAGGCCGTGAAACCTCAAACTAGGAACATTAAAAAATAATGTCTTTATCCAACAATGCATGCATTTTTAGCTCATACACAAAAGAATAAACAGAACTTTAAAGCAGGGATTCATGAAATGAAGCCTTTATGTACGAATGTTGCCCAACAAACAAACTTTCCTTCAATTGATAATAATCAAAATGTGATTTCATTGTCTTTGTTTAAACAAGTACCCAACTGATTTGTCATGCACTAGCGCAGGTCGCACCTAAATGTCTTCGAACCCTTAAAAACAAGAAGCTTTTGATCAAAACTGATCATTTGGTTAGAAATGAGCACGTGTTTGTCATTGCCTCGGGAAAATGTAAAAGTAGCCGTTTGCCTCATCTCTGAGCACCTTGATGCACTTATTTTGGGGCAAAACTATCTCTTTGGATTATAAATTGAGAGAACTATGTCTAAAAATGTTAAGTGGCAATTTATTAGATTGTGTTTGATATTTAACTCTTCCTTTTTTAACCTGTAGGCCATTTTGAACTTGTATAAGGAAGAAAACAACATTCGTAATGACTTTCAACACACCTTTCTGGTCCAGTTAAACATTTGCATTACTTCCACAGAAAAAAAAAGGGTCCGCAGCCACAATCAGAAAGCGAGACCCCCTCCTGAGCCGTCCCCCATCACAGTGGGGGCTGTTGCAGGATTAGGAGAAGGAGCCCGGTTACCAGAGGAGGCCGTCTGGCAGGAGCTTGTTCCCTGGTTTGAGTAGTTTCCTGCCGGAGAGCCCGTGAGGCTGCGGAACAGCAGGTCCATGGAAGGAAGCAGGGGCTTGAGGAGGCTGACGGGGCAAAAGGCCGAGCCCCCGTGGGGGGTGAAGTTTACCTTGTTGGGGTCTGGGCAGGAGGAGACGACGGCTTGCTTTTCTTGGCGTGGAGCACTAAGGAACAGAAAGGAGACAGTGGTGAGTCTAAACTAATGCTCAAAGTTTAAGTAGTGGAAATTAGGGTTGATAGCAGAAATTACAGTTTGACAACTTTATGGGTCCCACGGACCTCCCTGGTCACTCAAAACAAAGTTAAAAAGCAAGGTCAAGGGAAGTAGGAGTGCAGAGAGTGCTGCAGCACCCCCTGATTAATACAACAGAACTATAAATGAATGAAATAAATAAATAAAACTATTTAATTAGTGCTGCACATGTCCAATAATTCAATACCATTTTGCTAATCTTGTGTATAAACAACTGTTACCATAAATCTGTGTACAAAACTATACAACCACTCAAAATCCACACACAAGGGGGCAGGGTTGAACAAGATCATGACTGCAGTTTTATAGAAACAGCATGTTTTTTCATGTCAGGTAAGACGACATGCACTGCCAGTGTGTCTCACTGCAGGCGTTTGGTTTATTCTTTATATGGACGTTTAGGGTCAGAACAATTCACACACACCTGGAACTGCTTCTCATGGCTATGCTAAAAACAAAACCACGGCATAAAACCCATAAGGAAAAAAAAAAAAAGCAAAGCTCTTTTAGCAGTTTACAGAGAAAACGTCTAAATTTAGACTAAATACATTTTTAGGTGCCAGGTTTGTACAGTTAAAGGTTGCAGAAACAGAAAAATAATAAAAATGGATGCTTAAACAGTCTAAATTAAATAAATGGTAAATGGATTGAACTTATATAGCGCTTTTCTATCTTATCAAGATACTCAAGGCGTTTAACTTTCACTAGTGGCAGCTTTAGTGGCAGCTGTGGACTAAGTGGTTAGAGCAGTCGTCCTCCAATGCAAGAGTTGGGGGTTCGATTCCACCAGCAGTCACATGCCGAAGTGTCCCTGGGCAAGACAATGAACCCTCATTGCCTCCGATGTGTGTCCCATCAGTGTATGGTTGTTTTCACACCTGATAGTCCGGTAGACTCGGTTCGGGACCAATATTCATGACCTTTGTTTACATTTGAGCTGTTGCGTTTGCATTCACACTGCACTGTGCAGTCGAGTCAACCTGTTGAACCAACCTGTTCCCTCGCTCGCCTGTGGGGGCGCTGCACCAAGAACTACTGAAAGAAACAACACAAAAACCTCTGAAGACATGTCTTCTTCTTCTGAAAATAAAAACAAAAACGGAGTGGCATCAAGTTTTAGCAGTTTTAGGAGTTATATTTTGTCATTTTTCAACAATGGACTCAGCATGAGCAGAAGATGAGACAGAAGACCATGGAGAATATTGTTTTTCACACAAGGCAGCTGACGGCTCCATATAAGGTCAGAGAAATGTGTGTTTGTTTGTCCTGCGCTGTACTCCACTTCTTGCTTGTGGAGCGGGACCCGGTCTGTTTACATTCACACTGTATTCGAACCGCGCTGGAGTTCGCTTCTACCGGACCGAGACCTAGGTTTTAGCCCGGGCCAGAATTCGTCTTTTTGTTCTGTGACAGAGTTAGATAGCGCGTTCACACCTCCCCAAACGAACCGGACTTTCTAGGAAAACGAGCTAGAGTTAGATTAAAGCGGAATAAACAGGGCTGGTGTGAATGCACCCTAAGATGTGCACTGATTATTCTCTGTATAGATCTAGTAAAGTGCTGTATGAAAAGACAAATGAGGCACAGATTGTGTTGTAAAGTGCTTTGAGTGACCTGCTAAGACAGAAAGGCGTTATACAAGTACAGTCCATTTACCATTTACTAATGTTAGCTAACAGACAAATGTTTAATTTAAAAAGTATAGCAGTGTTTGTACTACAGCACAACTGATATATCAATAGGGCCGATATTTTAGGCCGATAATGACATTTGGGGATCTATCGTATTGGTTATAATTGTCCCATTATGCGCCAATTCTAATTTCCAACCCTAAAATGTACAATGTATCCAGCAGAGGGTGCGTGAAGAGAACTTTCAAATCATGGCCTTTCACTTAAGTTTCACTTTGATGTTCAGTACAGCGAAAGCAGGGAGTAGCATATTTTGCTGAACAGAGCATGGTTATTTTGTTTTAACTGATCATTAAAATAATAAAAAAAAAAAAAAAAAAAACAATAATGAATTATCTTCAATCCTCCAACCCGCTTGTCGTTACGTGCCTCTCAAGTTAGCAAGCTAACATTTAGCATAGAATATTGCTTTGTAAAACTTTATCCAGAACAATGAATCTAACGTAGAGGTAAAATATATCAGCGTTAGTAATGTTATATTTGTTGTCCTCAATGAAATGCATTGTTTGTCTGAAATCTTTACTTCTCTGTAAAGAAAAAAAAATGCTGCTGTTGTCAATACTAATGAGACCTTCACCATATGTGACTGACTAAACAATGAACAGGGAAGGGTGTTTCTTTGTTCAGTTTTTATTTTTGTAACACACTTGATAACTTTACGGTGAATAGTGGAGGATAGAAAATGTGAACGCAGGTTAGGAAGACTGTTTTTATGACCAGTGCACCACTTGTTAGACCTAGGTTTAGCTGCATGGTAGCTAACAGCTGTGCTAAATAAACAATCCTCGCTCCACTCGCCGTTTTCTTAAGATTCTTGGGGGTGGACAAAACGTAAATAATTTCAGCCATTATATCGGTTATTGGCATTCGCCTTCCCCTCCCAATATCAGTATCGGCGATAGCCAAAATTTCCTTATTGGTCAGGCTCTAATTTGTACCAAGCATGCCAACATCCATCCATCCATTATCTTTTACCCGCTTCTTCCATTTGGGGTCACGGGGGGGTCGCCGGTGTCCATGTCCAGCAATCACTGTGCGAGGGGCGGGGGACACCCTGGACGGGTCGCAAGTCCATCACAGGGACACAGAGACAAAAAAGACAAACCACCATTCACTCTCTCACTCACACCTAGAGACTACGTAGAGTTACTAATCAGCCTAATCAGAATCAGAATCAGAATAAACTTTATTGGAATTGCACCGAGGTACAACGCGAATATGTACGTACAGTCGTCTGAAAGATGGGCGGAGTGCATGAAGCTGCAACTACAGGAGAGCGCGGCCATTTTATCCTTATCAGATAATAATCTTAGATAGGAAAAGGGGGAGAAACATGAGGGTAGATAGTGGTATTACAAAAAAAAAAATCTTTCACATCTTGTCCATCAGGACACGATTTGAGACGTCAAACAAACTCTAGCAGCAGCACAATTAAAACATGATTACATTTGCATTTGACATCAAGGTGTTGAGATTTGTCTATGAGCTTTTTTTCAGATCAGCCACAGTTTCTGAAGATGCTGTTCCAGCCAGCAGTTCTGATAAGCTTGCACAGGAAGTTCGGGGGGGGGGGGGGGGGGGGTTGCGATAGATGAAACTTTTGTCCTTGGGTACTCATGTCCCAGGAGAAATTTGATAGCTCATCTCTGAGGCCGTTGGGAGTCTGATTCAGATAAGCTTGATTTTTGTTTTTTCTTCAGGCAGACAGATTTTTTTCTTCAGCCTTGAGTCCATCTGGGCGTTCTGTTTCCGAAAATGCCTAATTGTAGGATTACATTCCACTGATCCATGCTATGAGTCTCCTTCAAGGTCGAACCCACCACGCTGACGAGTCCCAGAAGCCGCAGGTGGTCTGCGATTCTCAATCGCCTCCACCTTACGGTTAAGCTTGTAGACCAGACGATTTAAAGTTCCCACAGCGAGGACCAGAACTTCACACTGACTCGGAAGCTTTTCCATGGCCGAAACTGCTGCCGATGTCTTCTTCAAAAGTCGATAAAACAGGGCCCCGCCGATGCCAAAAAGCAGAGTCCCTGCTATCATAATTCCAAATATGTAAACGTCTTCAACATCCTCCTGAGACAGAAGTGAGAGGCACATCAACTGCCACACTCCCCACGAATCCATAACGTACCCCACAGCGTGAGTCTCAGCTGGACACGCCGGTTCCCCAGGACCTTGTAGTTTTGATTAAAAAAATCTTATCAATAGAGTTGAACGCCCACGATACCAAATCCATAATCTTCTTAATTTATGTTCGGGAGATGAGACCCAGGCGCTTCAGACACACAGCGAGCAGAGCAGGAAGAAGGAAAACGGGGGAGGAGAAACAGAAGCTGCCACCTCAATGAGAGCCTAGGAGGAAAGCATGTTTTTGGTCTGTGGGAGGAAACTGGAGTACCCCGAGAAAACCCACGCATGCATGGAGAGAACATGCAAACTCCACCCAGAAAGGCCTCCGGACCGGGATTTGAACCAAGGACCTGCTCGCTGAGAGGCAGCAGCTCTACCAGTTGCGCCACCGTGTTGCCCTGACTTTTACAATCAATACTTTCCAAATAAGCAGCAAAAGTTTGCGACAAAACCACATAGAGCAAACTTTGTTCTGTGTATTTTTGCAGATGATGCGTTTCATAAGACATGCTGGTAGAGTTGAGCCTTCCATTCTTTTAATTGGAAATCATTCTCACAATCAGGATCGGAGGTCAAACTGGAAGGTCAAACTTCTCAGTTCTTTTTTATCAAGTGAATTTTAGGTTCATGGCTTTGCTTACGTTACTTGTAGTGAAAAGATAAGAAATATCTACTTTTTCAAACGGCAGCAGACTAAATCGTGCAACTGTTCATCGGTACAATTCCAGGCATCAGACACACTTTGGATCGAGCGTTTACCTGAGGCAGCCCTGTGAATTCTGCCACAGGGTGGAGACAGGACTGTCGGCATAATGATGTAACTATCAGGCATCAACTGAGAGATAAAGTTCTGCTTGAACTTTGATCAAAACTATCTGCTTCAAATCCATTTGTTTCTAGGTGCATTCACAAAAGGCCATTCACTTCCTGCTAGAGAGTTTTGTAGCTTTTTCGTGCATGATAAAAAGTTACACAGCAATGTCCTTCTGCAGAAATACCTATTTCAGCTCTATCTGGCTCACAAATGTTACGTACCTGACCTCCTCCCAGACTCGGACCTTCTCACAGCCCTCTGGAGGCTCTCTCTGGAAGCAGCAGCTTTTGTTGAGGCCTGGAGACGAGGAGATCAGTGGTGGAAGGTCAGCCTCATTCTGGGAGGACAACGGAGACAAGAGGCACATCTCTCTGCGGTCTATAAACCAGGAGAGAAAGAAAAATTAGAAAGAAGCTGCAGAGATTTTACTTTAGATTTGTTGTATTAAATACAGACAGACTACTAAACAACTCTGAAGATGTGTTCTAATTTCCAATTGTTAACTTTATGTATTTTAGGCAAGAAGCCAGGAGCAAATGCAGAAACTTGTGTTTTTATATGCAGCTTCACTGAAACACATTCTAAAAATGTTTAAAAGTTTTTTGAAAGAGGAAAAAAAGATTTGGCTAATTTATTAATGTACTTCAAAAAACATCTTCAAATACCTCTGATTTACCGTCACACGTATGGCAAATCAAAACAAATAATATAAATCTGATTGTACTTTTTAAAATGAGCAACTTAATTACCGTAATTCCTGGACTATAAGCTGCTACTTTTTTTTGCATGCTTTTTACCCTGCGGTTTATAAAATGCTGCTTAATTTATGGATTTTTTTTGACGGGCTAACAAGCTTCTTGCAGCCAAAACATTTAGCCTCGTCACACCAGGGTGCTCGCATAGCTGCCCAATACACGTCTCTCTTGGAGTGTGGGTCCTTGTGACTTAATGACACTACCTGTATAAATTAAAAATGGAGGACAGCACAAGCTGTTCAACACCCTTAACAGAAGATAGGGATCAATGACTTCCTGGAGCTATTGTATCATTATTAATATTTTTTTTACCAGCCGTGTTACAGGCACTATTCAGAAAAAAAACAAAACATTTACTGTATGTATTTGTGCATGTTACCAGTATGTATTTAATTAAAAGTTAAAAATTTATTGCTGTGTAAATATCTCATGTTACAACGTGGATACCCGCGGCTTATAGACAAGCGCGGCCTATATGTGTACAAATTTATTTATTCGTTTACTTTTAGTGGGTGTGGCTTAAATTCAGGTGCGCTTAGACACTTCTCTCCTTTTACCTTTCGTTTTGTCCTCTGTTCGAGTTTATGTAACTTTTTTTAAGACGAGCTTTGGAAACGAATACCTTGATGCAAAAATACTTTTCAAGCAACTCAAACTGTCATATATTTGACATTTTTCTTGTATTTTTACTAAAGAAAAATGGAATCTTTTTAGAACAGGTTATGAGAAATAAAGTCCTTAAAATAGATATTTTAAAACTTGTTCTTTACCAAGTTCTGTTCCTGAATGATTCATAGACTCATTCATTCAAAGACCGACTCAACACACACGCACTGACATGAGAGTCGACAAACTAACCTTGGTGAGAGTCTAGAGGAGTATACGACGAGTGGGGGTCTTGTAGTTGGGGGGAGGAGCAGGGTGAGGAGGAGGTAGAGGATGAGGAGAGGGGTGTGGTGGTGCGGTCGTTCTGTGAACCTCTGCTACAGTCGTGCAGAGGAACCGGAGCACGGTGACCGTCTGGGACCTCAAGGAGCTGCAGGACGGGAAATAAAACGGTTTAAATTGCGTAATTAAAGTCAGCCTGTAAAGCAGTAGCTGAACTTCTTTTGTTGGTGGCACCTACCCTGTGCTGTGGGAGGGGGGACTGGCTGATGAACATGCCTTCCAGCTCCTGGTTGAGGCCCTCCACGCTGCAGCGCAGTCGAGGGAACAGTGTAGACAGGGGAGAGGGGGGGATGGGAATTGGCTCAGTCTGAGAACACAAACAAGTTAAAGTGAATTTAGGCTCAGATATTTTTGACACAGTCAGGAGAGACACTTAAAAACGCCTTTTAGGTTTTTGTCTGATCTTCACAGCTACATAAGAAGCGTTAAAACTTGCTATTGTTAAAATGAGTCCTCCAGACTTTTACAAATAAGTCTTAAAGATTTGTATGCATCAAGTTATTTATTGGCCAAAACTTGAACAACCCAATGAAGCATGGCACAAAGAACAGCTGTGCAGAAAAGCAGAACTTCACTCCCCCCCCCCCCCCCCCCCGGAGCAACAGAAGCACATGTGATGTAGCGATCTTCCTGTTGCCTTTGCGTTTCATTTCATTCACTTCCTGCAAAAAGCTGCACAGCTTTAGTTTGTGCTTATCGTCGGTGACGCTCAAGTTACTGTGCAGCGTTAAAAAAGAAAACACATTTGAGCAGCATGAAGCACAAAGAGCAGTGTGTCTGAACGACGATGATGATGATGCTACCTGAGTAGCTCCAAGGCTACAGCTCCCATGAGGATAACAACACTGACGGTCCTTATCGTGCCCCCCAGAGACAGCGGGTTTGCTGCACTGCTGCAGTTGTTGTTTGAGTTTTGCAATCTGCAACGAAAACAAGTTACTGTCATTAACTTCGTACAAAACACACAAGTTTTTTTTAAACATACAAGCATGTCTGAACCACTTCAGCTGAGTTCAAGAGGTGATTTTATCAGAAAGGTGAGGCATAAATAAATGAACAGCAGAAAAAGGGAAGTTCTCGTCGATGAGATCATTGGTCAGTGCATTTAAAAAAATCCTTTTCTTTTTGTATGAGCTTGCACAATAGATAAAATGCCAAGATTAACAAATCTGTTATAAACTTGTGTTGAGCAATAAAGCAAAAACTGACCTCTCGCAGATGCTCAGCGCTGCCCCATGATGCTGAGCGTTTGTGGCTGCTGCTAACTTTCCTGACGTGGGATTCATCCACCCATGAGTCGGGGGTCTGCAGGAGAAGTTATATTGCATCATACTATTAAATCAACATATATTAAAGCCTTGGCCTGAAGTTTTCAGGCAACCATGTGAAATCCAAAACTGAAGATGGTTAAAAATCACATCAGACTTTATATTATCAGTAGTTTCACACTTAGCGCAGATCAGCTTACTAAAAGCCTGATGTGCAGGAACACCCACAGACCGTCTCTTCACACTCTTGACAGAAGACAAAATGAGTTGGAGGGACAGAAAAACAGCTAGAAGGTGGAGGATGTGGGCAACCAGAGAGCAGCGGCGAGTGCCTGCAGATGCAGAGGAGAGGATGGGTGCAGCCGAAACGGCCTCGTCAGCCGACTTCAGGGACTGTTCTCACGGCTGCGGTTCACACCATGAAATAGCTGTGCAAGCACCGGACACTCCCTCCCCTCTACTGTCACACTTTGAGCAACTTACTAAAAACTGCAGAGTAATAATACATGATGACACAAACCCATCCATCCTACAAACACGGCGACAGATACAAATCTGTGATTTATAAATAAGACTCTTGCTGACCTATGTTTTAACTCAGCATCTGAAAGTTTGACCCAGCTGTAGCCATTTTCCTTTTGGCTGCGGCAGCCATCTTCAACTGACACACTTAAGATTTATCAGTTGTAGGTGTACATCTAATGATTACTTTCTGCAAGTTTTATTAAAATTCATCCACTGGTTTATGATATATATTAGTAACAGACACAGACATAATTAAACGTTATTGTCCACCTTCAAGTTTCAGTGGCAGCCAGTAACTACGGTTGCACTCCTTTCAATCTTCTGAAAAAAAGACGTAAACATGTATTTCCATGTTTGCTTCGTCTGGAGCTGACCTGGGTGGATTTGTCCTTACGAGACACACTGCACTGGGCCTGCGCTTCCTTCGGCCAGTGGCCCTGCAGGTACGGCCCGATGATGGCGTCCAGGGACATCGTCCGCCTCATGCCGGAGCTCAGCTGCTGCAATTTGTCCTTTCCGGCTTAGAGTTTGAAAACAAAACAGCAGATTTTAGTAAAACATTAAAATACTTTTGAATTAGCAGGCTAGCACTCCAGTTCATAGTGCTGGCTAAACTTTGTCACATTTAAGCTAAAAAAAAAAAAAAACTTAATGCAACATTTGCGTACAGTATTTGTGAATTTGATGTTTTGAGTTTACCGTGGCTTAAAAAAAACAAACATGTTTTTGTTGGTTTAGATGAGTTTTAAGCAACTTTTTTTTAACTTAACACAGAGCAAAACATGAAGTTATACTAATGTTAGAATGTTAACTAGTAAAAAAAACAACTAAATACTCTCTGCTAGATATGTTTTGTGCATCAGGCTCATTTTACTGCTTCATGTGCAAGTCTGCAAGCATTGATGTTCATTTTGAAAGGAAGGCAGATGCTCTTAAGGCCGTGAAACAATATAATGGCATCCCACTTGATGGTGTGCTTTAACTCTACGCCCTTGTTTCGGAGAATACTTGCATGACAGTTTTTGTATGTTTTCTTTATTTTTATAGTTATTAATGCTACCATTGTTATGTTAATGAAAGCATGAGTCTAAACTTCAATATATTGTGTGATTCTGTGTGTGCTACCCCGTTGTGCACAACACTAATGTTGCGTAATGTACAATAATTGACTCATCCAGGCCACTGACTTCCAATGAGGAATTTATTAATATTTAACCATTTTCAAATTCTCCATCCACGTACTGTAGCTTCAAAATGAAATGTGGTATTTATCCAAAACTAGTCCTGCAACCTGGAACACCTGAAGCTGTCCACCTTAAGTTCTTTAGGGGATTTTAAACATTTCATAAGGTTAATAGAAAATGATAAAGATGACGTGATCTGTGGTGAGAACAGGGAACAGGTGGAAGAGAACTTGGAGAGGTATACACTTGAAAGAAGAGGAATGAAAGTCAGCCGTAGCCAGACAGAGTACATGTGTGAATGAGAGGGAGGCCGGTGGAACAGTGAGGCTACAAGGAGCAGAGGTCACAAAGGTGCAGGACGTCAAGTACTTGGGGTCCACTGACGTCAAGTACTTGGGGTCCACTGTCCAGGAAAATGGAGAGCGTGGTAAAGAGATGAAGAAGAGAGTCCAGGCAGGATGGAGTGGATGGAGAAAAGTTTCAGGAGTGATTTGTGACAAAAGGGTGTCAGCAAAGGTCAAAGGAAATGTTTACAAGACAGTGGTGAGTTCAGCTATGTTATATGGTCTGGAGACAGAGACATGGACAAAAAGACACAAGAAAGAACTGGAAGTGACAAAAATGAAGATGCTGAGGTTCTCCTTAGGAGTGACAAGGATGGATAAGGTTAGGGATGAGATCATCAGAAGTACAGCACAGGTTTGAACAACTGGGAGATAAAGTTAGAGTCATTGAGATGGTCTGGACATGTCCAGACAAGGGACAGGGTATACTGGTAGAAGGATGTTTGAAATGCAGCTGCCAGGAAAAAGACAATGAGATATCTGGATGCAGTTAGAGAGGACATGGAGGTAGTTGGAGTGAGGACAGAGGATGCAGAGGACAGAGATGGAGGACGACTCGCTGTGGCGACTCCTGAAGAGAAAAGCCGAAAAAAGATAAAAGACATCAAAGCATCAAATCAAACACGTTCTTGTTTTTAGTATTTTACCTTGATTTATTGTTTTACAACACTACTTTTACCTTAATTGCATTTTTTACTGTAGTTTATCGTTGTCTGAACGTTATAGGTTTGTCTCAAACAGCTCTTGTGAGTGAGGCTAACTGTATGAATAAAAGGTTTGAATGAATAAAATGACAGTAAAATGAACTTTGTTGTTTAGAAGACGCTGCACCTCAATGATCTTCAGTGGCTCTCTGAGGTTTAGATCTTCAGCTTGTAATAAATAAATGTGTTCCTGGTGGTTCTGTTGGTGTGGCAGGTGTTCACATCATACCTGACTTCCCATCCCTCCGGTTCGGTCGGGGTTTGCTGGCCAGCCTGAAGGGAACCGTCGCCTTCAGGGGCTGCGGGGCACCGGCTCTTGGGGGTCCAGCTCCACCTCGGCCGGACATGTTTTACAGTAACTGCTGTGGAACCACTCTGCTCTTGAACCCCCACGGAAAAGAGCAGCCCTGTTGAAAATCAAGTAAAAAGATGTGGGGGTGGCAGCTGGCTCGTCTTCCTCCTGCGGCGACGAGAACTACTCGAAAACCGTTACAAACGTTTTCCTCACGCGCATCATTTTCAGGCTACGTGAAAAAGTTTTCTTGCAAATGCAACCGTTTAGCTCGAGATTTAAAGCGTTTTGTTGCGCTAATGTCTTCCGCGAGGACTTTCTTTTTCCCCCCGAGGGGTTGTTTTGTGTGTGTGTGTGTGCGAGTTAGCAGCCTAGCAAGCAAAGTTTCTTTGTGAGGATGATGAGAGATTTCACCCCCGTTGTCGAACGAGGAAGCAGCTCCACTTTCAAAGAGTCACTCTAACGTCAACTCCTGCGTCTTCCGAGCAAAGTTTGAGGTGTATTTCATTATGATTTTTCGGGCTGGAGCGTGTTTTGACGGCCTTTAAAGTTGCGAAGTTGGACGAGCCTGTCCTCTCTCGGTGTTCTGGGTTTAATGGCAAACTCCAAACACTTCCACCAGCACGCTGGAGTGGATTTAATTATGCGGAGAGGAGGACACTGCTCTCACTTCTGATTGGTCGGTGGGGCCTCCAGCTTTAATCCTATTGGACAATCGGCTATCAATCTGTCAAACCTTAAAACTTTTAGGCTCCGCCCACAATTCATGTGTCGTTTTAACTGATTTTGGACGTAATGGTTCCCAAGGGTTGGCTCCGGGACCCACTTTGGGTCGTGATACGCCAAATAAGGGGTCCCATGAAATTTTTTTTATTTTTTTTTATATATATATTACAGGCTAGGAACATATTTTTGTGATAATTGTTATAACATATGATCTTTTTTTCATATGAAACTTTTTGAAGTTGTCATTCTCTTGTTTGTGTTTGTTTGTCCACACTGTTAGCATAACATCTCATGAATTGATTCATGGATTTTAATGAAACTTTCAGATAATAATTAATGAACGTGCATCTACAGCTGATTAATGTTTGGAGCCAATCCAATTCAAGATGGGTGCCACAACCAACTGACCTAAAAAAAACCCCCACCAAAAATGGCTATAATTCAGTCCGTTTACAAATATTTTGTTAAAAAAAATAGGCGTGTTCGTTGCTGAGAGTTACTCACTAAACATACTTCGAGTGTGACATCTTGTAATATGACGAGATTGCACATAATGTTATTTTCAACATTTGACCTAAAACAGCCACGACTCATTTCTCAACACAACATAATCTTAGACTAAAATTTCATCATGGAAGGCAGCAGGCGATATGTATTTCTTCAAGGAATGCTAGACTTTTAATTTGTTCAGTTTTTATCTCATGACTCTCAGCTCTGTGTATACTGTCTGGGTGGAATGTGAGGTGGCTTTGGGTGGTGTGTGTGTTTGTAAGACAGCGTGCTTTGTGGGAGATAAATGTCCTGACTCTGTGTGAAAGGGAGTGCCAGTGGTGGGACAGGGAGAAGAGAGTAAAGATAACATGACACCACTTTTACAAGCTGATCCTAGACCAGCACGAAGGCTCAAACTGTCCCCTCATCAAAGCATGCAGATCCAAAATGTGCCCCACTGTACCCTCATGCTAAGATAACATGTTAGTGTACATGTCTGGCACACCAGAAAGGGAGTGAAAGTGCTTTATCACACAGGAATGAATCACTAATCTGTGCTCATCTGTGTCCTGCAACCGCACTCGTACATTAATGGCACTTTCACAAAAACGACAAACCTAGACAAGAGAAGCGTATTTTTCTGGGAAGATGTAAGGTCAAGGTTTAGTGCTGCATGACTTGGAAGAAATTTGCAGAAAAAGCTGAAACTGTATTGTTAAAGCTAAAAGAAGCAGAATTCAGCTTGTAGCTAAAAGCAGTGACGCCACCAGGAATTTTTTTTAATGAGGCGGCTAGGCCTGTCGCGATAAACAATAAATCAATTAATCGCATGATAATTGAAAATTATCGACCTCATTTTCATTTATCGGCTTATTGTTTCTTCGTGTCTCTCTCTTTCTACTGGATGACAAAAGGCTCAACGCCGGTGTTCTTCACTGACCCTTCCCTTTCTCTTTTTTCTTTAAATCCTTTTTAACCGTCCAAATCATGTTTTTGGATCGTTAAAAGCAGCTAAGCTGAGAAGCTAAGCTACGAGCTAAGAAAACTGGCCGATCTCGGGGGAAAAGCCGCTGTCTTGTCGAGGCGTCAAAATGTACTACAATAAATTAACCAACATTTCTTCTTCAATTTGACAATAATTACTAATTATTGTCAAATTTCAAACAATATTATCATTTATCGCAATAATTTCGGAGACAATTAATCGCCCAGCAAAATTGGTTATCGTGACAGGCCTAGAGGTGGCCATGTGTGGGACACTGAAAATCCATAGGGTGGCACACCAAAACCAAAAGCTATAAAGGATTTTAGACATTCCGTTGTTGTAAAACATAATTTTAAAAAATTTGGTTATTCATTCAACCTTTATTTATACAGGTTAGTCTCACTGAGCCACAAGGACTCGTGCACAAGATGTGAGCGTTAAGGATTTACCATCAGATGTGGCTCAGCGTCTTATTTGACAGCTAACATTACTGGTTAAGAGATGTGCAGACCAGAACCAATAGCATTTGGAGTTCCACAAGTAACTGTCCAGTTCCAGTGTTTTCTTATGTAAACGGGCATAAAAGGCCCTGACATTAGCATTTTGTCGTTTTCTCTCAAAAAGGATAAAATGAACGTTTTTAATTTGACGAGGTATGATCAAAATATTTAAGAGAAACCTTTTTCAAGCTTAAAGCCATCACTTCTACTAATTATTTAAAAAGCATTTTAATTTTCTTGTTGCTGTGTATTATGTAAACACAAATATGGTATTATACATGTCCAAAAAAAGCACGAACAATGTACATTTTACTGCAACAAAACCCAAACTTTATTTGCTTTTTCAGACAATATTTCAGAAAAGCTCTGACCAATTTTCTTTTAGAGGTGACACCTTTAGCTAAAAGAAGAACAATACATCCTGATGCATGCTCAATAATCCAGGTAGAAAAAAAGAAAAAAGTGAAATAAGGTCCTCTGGATGGATTATTCTTGTTGAAACGTTTTGTCTGTTATCCAAAAGTCTTCATCATTCCTCAGTAAATTCAATCTTATAAATAACACCTGTGCTTAAGATTAATTAATAACAATGCATGCTAAAAATAGCAAAAAACACTTGCTAAAAGCTAATTTAAAATGATAGCTAAAAGTAGCATAACACTACTAGCTCAATACCAAATGTAGCAAAATACTAGCTAAAAGCTAAGAGAAGCATGAAAAGAGTTTTAAAAATAGAGCAAGTAAACTAAAGTAGACTTTAAAGTGAAGAATGTTTTCAAAGGAATTAAAAATCTCAACCTATTTCTATGGGCAAAATGTTTCTAAATAAAGGTAAATATTGTGAAAAGTGTAAAAAGTTACAAAAACTAATAATTAAAACCGAAATATTCTGAATGAGCTGCACAATTGAGTGGCTAAAATAGCAGAACATATGCAGAAGTGAGAAAGAGTAAAAACAGATCCTGAAGAAAAGACAAAGAATAAAAGGAAACAGGATCACGTTAGTGTGAATGCTACATCAGACTTCACACAATGCCTAAACCCAACTCAGCATCCATTTATTTACAGCCAGGAAGATAATTGGACAGTATGTCGATCTGGAATGTATCTCCTACATAATGCATTTGTAACATTTACCAAAGGGCCTTCAGCTACTGTTTACTTAGCTCTGTGTGATTGTCCACACTAATGAATAAATGAGCCTGACCTTTGACCCGACGTGACCTATTTCAAACCCATCTGCGGCGAGACAATGTCTTATATGTCACAAAGTTGGGGCACAAAAGGAAGAGGTGAAACCGAAGAGGCTCAAGGGAGGTGCAAGTGTGCAGTGTTTGTTTTAATGATATTAAAACTGCTGAATTTTCTGTTCAATAAAACCAAAACATCTTAGTTTAAAACTCTGACTTGAAAGGTGATGACTTTTTGTTTTCATTATTTTTATATGATTTCACTTCAGTTCATCCAACAGTTTTGAAGATATTTTACTAATTGCCAGACTGTCTTCTTCTTCCTTAGGCTTTTCTCTTTTCAGGGGTCGACTCACCACAGCGAGTCGTCCTCCTCCACCTCACTCTGTCCTCTGCATCCTCTGTCCTCACTCCAACTGCCTCCATGTCCTCTCTAACTACATCCATATATCTCCTCCTTGTTTTTTCCTGGCAGCTGCACTTCTAACGTCCTTCTATACCCACTGTCCCTCCTCTGGACATGTCCAAACCATCTCAGTCTGGTCTCTCTAACTTTATCTCCTAGTTGTTCAACCTGTGCTGTACCTCTGATTATCTCATTCCTAATCTTATGCAGCCTTGTCACTCCTAAGAAGAACCTCAGCATCTTCATTTCTTCCACTTCCAGTTCTTTCTCGGTCCGTGTACATTCAAAAAACGAACTGCCTGAATGTACACGGACCTTTCTCCTGTCTTTTTGTCCATGTCTCTGTCTCCAGACCATACAACAAAGCTGGTCTCACCACTGTCTTGTAAACTTTTCTTTTGACCTTTGCTGACACCCTTTTTGTCACAAATCACTCCTGAAACTTTTCTCCATCCACTCCATCCTGCCTGGACTCTCTTTTTCTCCTCTTTACCACGCTCTCCATTTTCCTGGACAGTGGACCCCAAGTACTTGACGTCCTGCACCTTTGTGACCTCTGCTCCTTGTAGCCTCACTGTTCCACCGGCCTCCCTCTCATTCACACTCGTACTCTGTCTTACTACGGCTGTGCCTCGACTACAACATAAACACTCTGCACATATTAGCAGAAAAAAGGCTGTTTTATTGCAGTTTTAAATAACACAAGGGTTCCTGCTTTTCAAGAACTCGTTCGAGTTACATGTTGATACAAGAATGTCAGGAAATTATTTGGAATAATACAACAAAAATAATAATAATAAAAAACACACACACACCCACACAAACAGATGTAACAGTTTTTTCTTCAACTCAACTCGTTTCATCGAGCATGTTTTTGTAAAAAAAAAAAAAAGGCCATGAAAACATTCATCCTGCATAGTCACGCTGCACTGAAGGCAAGAGACATCTGCGTTTATGCGTCCAATGCAGGAACATCCTAAAATATGTGGCTAAATTAAAACAACAATTCAGATCTTTTGAAATGGGGTTCTGTGGAATGTTTATGAACAGTTAGTATCTTATCTGTTACAGATAGCCATTGCTATTGCTGGCCGTGAAAATGATGATGGTGTTTTGGCATGTTTGTGTGTGGATCTGTTCATTGGTCTGTCAGTTAACAAAGTATTTCCTGGATCACTGGACATATTTTAATGAGATGAGAATAAAGATAAAGATAAAGATAAGGATAAGATAAGATAAGATAGAACTTTATTGATCCAACAGGAAATTGTTTGAATGAATCTGTCTGAAAGTTTTTATTGGCTCTACACATCCAGCTGATTTCTTTTTGGACCCAACCCAATTTAAGATGGCTGCCACAGCTAATCAGCTTTAGCAAACACAAACAAATGTCAGTAACTCAGTCAATATTATAGGTGTTAAGGTAAAATTAGGTGAGTGGGACAGATTCCCAATACAAGCTCTAAAGTAGCTTGTACAAGTTCTCTGTTTAAAACTTTGCCATTAAGTATTGGTGTCACCTCTGTTTGTATTTTAGCAAAATATCTCATCCACCACTTAAAAGATTGAATTGAAACTCTCTGAAAGTTATTGCTGGAAGTACATTTAAACCGATTACCTTTTAGAGCCAGTCCAATTTAAGTTGGTTAGCACAGCCAACAGACTTTACAAAACAAAACTTTCATCATAATTCTTTTCATTTTACAGATATAATGCTGAAATTAGATGTGGTAGTATCATTCACAACCCATACTTTGATTGTGCAATCCCACATAAAACTATTTTAAAGGTTTGACCACTCCATCTTTTCTCGACACAAGAGAATCTCCGTTTACACAAGAAAGGTGGTGGTGATTTGCATTCCCTCAGGGAATACCAGACTTTTCATTTGAACTGGATTGATGAGCTAATAGCTAGTCCGCACAGGGCCAAGACCAGAATAAACTGTTTCTGTGTACACGTTTATAAAATATACAAGAATCACAATGAATCTAAAAAAGTTAAATCTGGTCCTCTGGACATAAAAAAAAAATCACAATGAAGTTTGTGAGATTTCAGTTGTTGATGACAGATAACTTAAGTTTATCAAACTGACATAATCAATATGTCTCCAATCTGAGGTCGAGCAAGCAGCTATCTGCAACAGGTAAGATGTTCATAACTTCTCCACAGAACCCTACTTCAAAAGACCAATAGTTTAAATATGACAGAATGAAGCCTAAACTGTCATATGTTCTATAAATAAATTGTTGTTTGTGTTAATTTTTAAATACTCTTCCTTTAAGATAGTTCTGCTCCCTACGAACAAGCCCCAGCTTGCATTTTTCTCTAATAAGAGCATGTTTTAATAAGGCAAAACTCTTGTAAGCAACAGAGAGAGTACAATCAGACTGAGGGGACAAAGACACAAAGGACAGGGACACACATGGAGGACAGTCAGTATTATAAGACCGCATCTGCATAAAATGAAGCTTTGCGATGCACGGAAAGACTCTGATACAACAAATGAGGCAGCTGAGCAGCTAATCCTGCATTTTTGCTGAAAATGGGTGGTGCTTTTTATGAATATGCATGTTGAGGCAGTGCACGTCTCTGCATATCTTTGATTAGGAACTGTCTCTGTTGGCAGTGTTTCTTTGGCGCCCCCTAGCGGGGGGACAGGGCAGGGCTGTTTTCTGTGCTGATGTTCACCAGGCACTCGCTGGATTTGAGACTAGCCAGAGATTTGCTGCTTGGGAGGGAAGCCATGGACCCACACAGTCCCACCATGGAGGGACTGTAGTCTTTTTCTGTGGAAGGTGTGAAAGAAAACCAAAGGGATGGTCAAATCCTGGAACTTTTATTTATTAAACTTTTGTTGTTGTACAGTATATATGGACAGTAAAATGTAGTCCGAGTGTCTGAGTGTCACCTGTGCACCAGGCCCCTCCGTTCTGTTTCCTTTGGGAACCCAAATCTTCCACTGACAGCAGCTCTGCGCTCGGGAAACTCCTCCTGCAGGTCAACAAGAGGACACGTGAGGAAGACAAACAGCAGGGTGTCCGCAGGCATGAAAAATAGCCTGGAAAAATAATTAAAAGCTCCACTCATCAGTCACTGCAGCGATTTTCAATTAAATGCATCCCCTGAAATCACAAAGAAAGTCCTAAGTGAACTTCCTGATACTGAATTTCATATGTTTTATTATCATAATAAATCAGCTTTCATGTTTTTTCTGACTCAGTTTCGACAGGTCCACGCAGTTTCACATGGAAATTAAATAGCATCCAGCTCGCAGAGCAGCAGCTGTAGTTTGAGTAGAGCTGAGCACCCTGGAGGCTTAAACAAGCTGACCACAGAAAGGTCACAAACTCTTTTTCTATTGCCCATCGCTGAAGGCCAAAGCAGAGCTGTAATCTTTTGCCCACATCTGTATGTTCATTTGTTTGTTTGCAAAATATCTCATGAACCAATGATCAAATTTCAGTGCAACTCTCAGATACTGACTACACATAATCTGGAGTCAAGTTCAGCTGGTTGAACTTAGCCAACAAATTGTTTTATCTTAATTAATTTTAGACATACTGAGCTGAAATTTGGTGTGGTAGAAGCTGAGAAGCATGCACACCACATACTGTAAGCTCTAACAGATCATGTGAGATATCACAGAGTCACGAGATCGTGCATAACGTTGCTTTGAATGTTTAACTACAACTTCTCAACATATTATAATTTTAGTCTAAAACGCTGTCAAGAAAGATGGCAGGCCTTTATTTTTCTTATAATCTTATCAATAAACTAAGCTTCTGCAATTTCACAATGTTTACTTTAGTCTAGAGTTTAAATAGTTTTTATCTGGAGCTTGTACTGATGGTGGGAAGTTCAGACGCCTGTAAAATGTTTTCTTTAGCACAATCCCTGAAAATAGAAAGAAACAGCCCTGCAGTGGTCAAAGTGTGAATTAAAACTATGACGTTTACAACTAAAAGCTACTAGACTCTTGTATTTTTGTCTTGGAAAAAAAACAACCTGGTCATTCTGAGTATGCATTCTGAACTGATCAAATGTTAAGTCACAAATCGTTGCTGAGAGTAGATCAGAGTCCAGTTAAGTTACAACAGGTTTGATCAGCGTGCACTAAAGATATAAAGGAAAGACTTATTGGACCAGACGCTATCCTTACTGGATTCATTCATTAATCTGAAACAGGGTCAGACCATGTGACAGGCCAAAACTTTAAATGAAGGTATGAGCGATCTTATGCCATTATTGTGAGATCTGTGAGCGCTTGGAGCATGTGTTCAGGATGACTTTCAACTATTTCAGTTCAGTTTATTTCTATAGCGCCAAGTCACAATATAAGTCATCTCAGGGCACTAAACAGAAACATTCATATATATATATAAAAAAAATAATCAAAATCAGGTCAAGAATCACATGTTAAGATAGAAATTGCATCAAATGAAAACTATTCAATTTTAACAAATCATTTAAGGAAATGAGGTCAATTCATCCTCCAATAGTCCAAGCCTATAGCAGCGTAACAAGCCAACCCTAACTATAGGATTTATCAAAAAGGAAAGTCTTAAGCCCAGTCTTAAAACTGGACAATGTGTCAGCCTCACAGACAGAAACCGGATGTTGCACAATGTGTAGCTTTTAGATCATGTGCTGTGAATTAGTTTCAGCTACTTCCACAACATTTAATTAAATTTTTTGCAAAATAATTTAAATGGACTTGATTAAATTAAATGTTGTGGAAGTAGCTGAAACTAATTCACAGCACATGATCTAAAAGCTACACATTGTGCAACATCATCGCTTAAAACATTGACTTTAACTGTTGGCATCAATTTTGCCTTCCTGTTAGCAAAATATCTCATATATTTTAATAAATCCCTCAGAAGGTAATCGTTTGGTGTGCATCTAAAACTGATTACGTCTATGGGTCAATTTGATTCAAAATGGCTATTTGACCTTAGGCCTTTTCGTTGTGTTTTCAAAGATCAGTTGGCTGTGATGACTATCTCCAATTAAGTTGGCTCCACAAGTTAATCAGCTGTAGATGGAAGTTTCATTAGAATTTGTATAGCGGCTTGTGAGAAATTTTGCTAACAGACAGACAGATACAGTAACAGACACAAGTAAAAACATTATTAACACTCTTTTGCGTTTGGAGGAAAGTGGTACATATTACTACAAATTCTACTATTGATTTTATGTTTTTTGTGTTAAAGTTTACAATTTTTTTACCACTCCTTTAGCTCAACGTGAAGCTTCCACGTTCTGATAAAACGTTGCAGAGCTCTTAACCCAAAGTTCGTGTTTTATTTGAGCAATAATTTGACTCTTCCTAAACTGAAGAACTTCTTATTTAATGAATGAGACGAATGAATGAAGAAGACCTGCTTGCTCTTCAGCACAAAACGATAAAATAAAGCCTCGATAAATACCACGAAAGATCTAACTACTGTGATAAGACGCTTTAAAACAGAGGAGAAAAAGTCTTTAGTTAGTTCATTGAAGCGCAAATGATCGCTTGGCTTACAGGAGGAAATCCAGTATTGAGAAAGATGGATAGAAACCAAAGCACAAAAATAACTTTTACTATAAAAATGACTAATTATTCTTGTTATACGACTTCTGAGCTTTGTGACTTGGAGTCAAACCTGCGGAACAGCTTCACGTTCTCTTGGCTGCCGTACGTCTCGAGTGTTGACCACTGGTTGATGAGTGGGATCGAGAGGTTGTGGGCCAGATGGTTGGAATCACAGGGAATCAGACTGGTCCTGATGCAAATGTGTGCAAAACATGAATCAGCGTTTCCGTTTATGGTTTAATTCACACAGCCACAAACACCGAAAAGATTCAACTGCAAAGCGGTTCTAATTGTTGTACGCCAGCTGTGCGAATACAATAAAGTTTTGTCGTCGCGCACTGAGAAACATGTACCTGATCTAAAGCACTCACATCTGCTCCTGAAGCTCCAGGATGACAGCTTCCAGCTCCGATTTCTCCTGTCGGCTCAGACTCTGCGCCTCCTCCAGCCGAGCCTTCAGATTTTTGTTCTCCATCTCTGCGTTCTTCAGCTGGGATTCCCGCAGGCGCACGAGCTCTTCCAGGTAACCCTGGCAACAAATACGCACTTATTTGTGTGAACGCTGATTCAGCGTTCTGGCTCCCTGTTTCGAGCCCAGAAACGTGAGTGAAGACCTTCTGCGCGTTGACGATCTTGAACCTCTGCTCCATCTTGCGGCACTTTGTGCTCCAGCTCTCCTCGTCGGCGACCAGGGGGACGTAAGGGTGCTCAGGGACGCTGTCGTCACTCGTGCTGCTGTCGACGCTCCGCCGATCATCGTCGTCACTCAGGTAATCGTAGCTGCAGGAACATACAGCCACGTTACCTTCTCGACTTTAAAGGGAAACTGTGACCGTCAGCGCTCGTACCTTTGTGTGAATTTTAAGTAAGGAGTGTAGTCGATCACTGCGGAGGACTTCCCATCCAGGGCCTCCCCTTTTAGGCAGAAACTATAAAACCATTTAAAAATAGGATCATAAAACACACTTTTAAAATATTCATCAATCAGTGAATTAAAGGTAAACACTCCCCACCTAAAATCTATGGCTCCCAGGCCTAAAAGCATCCCCGTTAACACCGTCGCCTCTTCTCTCAACATGATGGCTCCTTCTGCATAGAACCTCCTAAAGGTATGAGGGCAATATTTCATGTGTGGATTGAGTAATAGTGTGGACGGGTGTGATGGGGGTTTCCTGACCTGGTTGTCCTGCTGTCCCTCAGAGCAGTGGCGATGTACTCAGACAGCCTCTTTTCCATGAGAGCTACTCTCATCCAGGCCTGACCCTGAAGGAAACAGTGTAAATATTAACGCGCTTTACTAAAATGGATCAGCTGTAATGACAGTCATTATGGTGTGGAAGCAGCACAGCAATAAACATTATTATAAATATGATTAGCTGATGTGTGTAAAACAATGTTTTTTATATTGTGGTTAATTTTGAGCTTTGATCACCAGAGTATATGATTTTATGATAACGTTTGTAAATATCTGCTTTCCTTGCCTTTGCTTTCGACGTGCTGATGTTTTCCATGATCTCAATGCTGCTGATGCAGCTGTTGGGAACTTTTGCACAGGCCAGACGGACATAGTCCCAATAACTCCTCTGACCATCAAACCAGCTACTAGAACCTTTGGAAATAAAGTGGACAAATGTTGTAAACTGTAGTAGGAAGTCCTTTATTTCAGTAACCTATAGGGTCATTTAGAGGAACGAACCAGAAATGGGTGCAGAACCAACTGTTAACTGTTAATTTTATGAATGCTGAGTCAGCATTTAGACCATAGTTTGCCTGCAATGACCTCAGCATACTTTCAGCTATGTTAGCCATAGTTATATCAAAACATTTGGCTCGTTCGGGACATTATGGCCATGTTGTTTGGTTTTTGTAACTTTCATACTTTTTGAACTACCCGTATTTTCTGCCGTACACGTTTGCACCGCCCTATAAGTTGCACGAGTCCAAATATGTCTAATAAAGTGGAAAAATCCATAAATGCGTCACTTCGCCGTATACGTTGCATCTATTATGCGTCACTGCTGACAACCCAGAAATGTGGTCCGGTGTTGTGCCAAAAATCAGTTGGCTGCCAAATGGCGGCTGCGGAAACGTGCATGGGAGGATTTTAACAAGAATTTAACAAGATTAAACCTTAAAAACAATTATTTGTTTGTTCGAAATTATAGTAAAGGTGTGTCTCAGTTGAACTTTTACTTAATAAATGCACTTCAATGGTCAAATTAGCTGCATTTCACCAGGGCGGCGCAGTGAAATGAAGCTGGTTTGACGTTAGCTCAAGGCAGACGACGGTGGCAGTCTAATGCAAACCAATTGTGTCATTAATAACCACTTTTACATATTACATGACATAACAGCATGCCAACAGTAGGGGGCTCAACACACAGCCCTGAGGGGAGCCAGTGCTGAGGGTTATGGTGGAGGAGGAGAAGTTGCAAAATCCTAATAATGGTTTCTTTTATTTTAGGGGTGCTGAGTTCAAATTTAGGGATGCTTCAGCAACCCCCAAAAGAGGCTAAAATTGCTCCTGCCTTGAGTTATATTTAATAAAGGAAAATTTTGGAAAAAAAAAAAAAAAACTCTGTTTCACTACAAACACATCATTAAACTTTCAAGCTTTTTCAAGCACTTTGCAAACCTTGTAGACACACATTTGCATTGCAGTTTAAGGATTTTTCAGGATATTAAGGCCTCATATCCTGCATGTACTTTATCGTTCTTTCCTCAACATGCAGGTACGTTTCTTACCTTTGAACCGGTGACTGAGGATGTGTTCGAGGACTGCTGCGAAGTTGATGAACTCCTCAGCGGAGTCATCGATGGGCTCGGCTGTATATTTCTCTAACAGGGTCTTAACTGAAAACCTGCAGAAGAATCGAGGACAAAATCACACAGAATGCATTTGAACAAAAAAAAAAAATAATAATCCCAACACTTTAATTTTCTAAATTGCACATATGAACCTAAACGTAAAAAATGTGCTTGTTGATATTTTAAAAGCACATTCCTGTATGTGATCCATAACTGTGTGAACTTTCTTCCATTTCCTGCAGGCTCTCGTTTCACATCAGGTCTGATGTCATCGGTTTGCTGGGAGGAAAATGTTCATGGAGACTTTCAGGAAGCTCTAACATCTTAATTTACTGGAGAGCTTTCATGACTCTGCTGTGATGTCAAACATTTCTAGTTGTAAAGACGCCGTTCTTTGGCATCTGTGGCTTCAAGTTCTAGACTGTTCAAATGTTTTCCACTGAAAATTAACTCGTTATGCATTTATCTTTATTAACGGATGTGATGCTTTCTTGTTATAAAACACACAAACAAACCATTTAAACACTTAATTTTAACTAAATGTATTTTATTTCGAGCATTATCTTTTTTCTAGAAAAAACACACCTCAGTCTTTTCCTGGACACTACATAATTCATCAGGTCTATTTGTGGCCAGATCATCTGCCAGATGCTGTGTGGGGGTACAGGGGGGCTATAATGACACCCAGCCTCCGACAGGTGAAGATTTAATTAGGATGTTCTTTGTAACAGCATATATTTTGTCTTTTAAAACAGTGAGCACAGGTCAGGGTGACAAAGCTTGAATTGATTTTTCTTTTCATTCTTCTGAAGCAATAATCTCATTCATGTTGATAATCTGACCCTCCTCAAAATGAGCACAATCCATGTTTTTTCCACCAGTCGTTACAGGAGCTTGTTAATTTAGTCAGAATTAAACTGTGAATAGCTGTCTACAACAGGTAAGATATTTACGATTCCTAACTTGGAACCACACTTCAAAAGATATGTGCATAAGTATTGCATGTGCCAATGTTTTACATTTGTCTGTGTTTGTATAGTTTGAAGAGAATTTAACGAAACGTTCAGAAAGTAATCACAGACTGTACATTTACATAGATCATTCAAGATGGCCGCCACACCCAACTGACCTATAAAACAGAAAAATGACAACTTGGTCCATGTTGTAGATTTTGTGCTATAATTTGATACAATTGTAGCTGAAAGTCAGTCTCAACAAATACTACAAGTGTTTCTCGCTGCACACGGTCTTTGTTTAAAATTTGACATCAAATCTTGGAGTAAACCCTGTTAGTCTGTTAACAAAATATCTCATGATCCACTGGATGAATTTTAATGAAGCTCCCAGAAAAAAAAATACTGGCTTTACAAGCAACAACTGATTACAGTTTAATCATATTCAAGATGGCTGCCATGGTTCATGACAGTAGCACAAATGGCTAGAAACCAGTCAGTTTGCCTGATACTGGGCAGCACGGTGGCACAGTTGGTAGAGCTGCTGCCTCTCAATGAGCATGGTTCAATTCACGGCCCGGGGGCCTTGCTGGGTGGAGTTTGCATGTTCTCTCCGTGCATGCATGAGTTTTCTCCCGGTACTCTGGTTTCCACCCACAGAGCGAAAACATGCATGCTAGACTGATTGGTAACTCTAAACTCACCAAAGTCCATGCTCAATAATCCAGGCCAAGTCATCTGGACGATTTATTTTTATTTTTACTGTGCTTCTGGATGGAGGGTGAAATGTCTCCATCCATCCATTATCTTTTACCTGCTTCTTCCATTTTGGGTCACGGGGGTCGCAAGATAATGGATGGATGGGGTAGAATTTGGTGTGGTAACACAGTCTGAGCATGACATCTTGAGATAGTGTATGAGCTTGTGCAAAATGTAATTTTAAAGGTTTAACCAAAACTGTCACGTAAATACTCTCCGTGCATGCGTGGGTTTACTCCAGGTACTCCAGTTTCCTCCCACAGACCAAAAACATGCATGTTAGGCTGATTGGTAACTCTAAATTGTCCCTAGGTGTGAGTGAGAAAGTGAATGGTTGTTTGTCTCATTGTGTCCCTGTGATGGACTTCCGACCTGTCCAGGGTGTACCCACCCCTCGCACAGCGACCCCCATGACCCAAAATGGAAGAAGCGGGTAAAAGATAATGGATGAATGGATGGATGTCACATAAATAGTTTAGTCCTGGGTTGGTGTAAACTTCGTTGGATACTCAAACTTTCAACATTTTGGACAAAATAAAGACAATAAAATAAATACAACATGTTTGTAAAACAATAACCTTACAAGAGCTAACAAGCAGTATTTCCTGTGAGTTTATAGTGTTTAAATCGGCTCGTGTGAGTTTTAATAATGCATTTAATAGTCAGGACCTTCTTTTTATTCAGGCGCAGCAGGGCCTCCCTGCGCTGGCTCCACGGGGTGCCAGCTAGTCCTTGCTCCAGGAAGGTTGTCGCCATAGCAACCACGCCATCAACGCCCAGAAAATAAACAGCGCTGACAAATATGACGTAAACCCACACAGCTACAGACACAGAGTTGTGGAGATTTGACGGGACATTAAACAAATAAAACACCAGACTGATGGACGAGCTTCGCACATGCGCACTTAGTTCAAAGAAAAGACTTCATGAACCCGAACGTCTGACGTTACACTTGATACAAAAGCCTAACTAAGCTTAACTAAGTGACAAAACCGGTGTTTAAGAGGTTGTTTTGGGAGCTACACAGTATCTCTGAGTATAAAGCACTGACCTGCAGACGGTAATGAGGTTCTTTCTTTCCACCGCCACGTTCCGAGCCGATATTTTCGCCGAGACATCTCCCATTGCCATCTCCGCCTGCACATAGCCGGGCTCCATCCGGGAGGAGACAGCCCTGAAATGAAAGGACCCCTCCCTGTCTGGTCCTCCACTTTCAGTCCTGGATGCGGGAGAGGAGGATGCTGCGTGTCCGCATCAGAGCCGCTGACGCACGGCTCGTTGTTGTTTTGCCGAAGAAAGCAAAGAAACTCCAAAAAGCATGGACTTAGTTTATTTTATCCCACATCCAGAGAGGTGGCAGCTCTGCCCTCTCGCGATCTCCCTGCCTGCCTCGTGACATCACCATGACGCCATGGCCCACAATTTCTGACATCGCATGTGTCAAAGTGAAGGCCCGTGGGCCAAAAGTGGCCTGTTACATTTTATCCGAACTGGAAATACTAGTGTTTTCTGCAGCTTTCCCTAAATAATGGAAATGTGTTTTTATTGTTTGTATTTTTTTTTTCTGTAAAAATTGTTTTATTGCTGATATGTGTTTTTAAATTAGACTTAAAAAACATTCATAAGCCACGTTTTTAACTGTATGTATGGCTTGGGAAATATATTACATGAACAATTTAACATATTACATCTGAGAACCTAGTTCAGTTTAAATGTTGTTTATATATATATATATATATATATATATATATATATATATATGAACTGAGACTTTTGGCCCCTTGTGAAACAGAGTTAGACACCCCTGATTTAAAAGAACATGACATATAATCGTTGGCGTAGTCTACATTTTTGTAGTATAATGTGCTTAGAAACCAAAGTACACTGGTTAGAACAATGTAATCCTCAATTTATTTGGGTTTTTAAGCATATTGAACATTTCCAATTTTCTCTGATGCTTATATTTGAATAAATGTACAGCAAACTGTACAACAGTTGATTTTGTATTAAAAACATGTTATAGAATTTATAAAACATTACCAAAGCAAACATGTTCAAATCTTAAGTACAGAAATATTAATTATACAATAATTTACTGCATAAGCAAATGTAATAAACAGGCACTGCATAGATAGATTGTTACAGAAGCATTTAACTAACATATCAGAGGTACATGTCTAATGATACGTCATCTATCACTGGGCACTTTTAAGTGGTTATATTGAAATTTTCAAGCTTTTCTAGTGGGTACACTCCATAGGCATGACTGCGTATCACATAGACTACACTACTGCATATAATTTCAGCACCAACTTGTGACTCAGACATGAGTGCTTATTGCATTAAAAACTTTATCTAAAAAAATCTAATGTATTAATACAGTTCTATTATGTGCATGGTGGTGCAGAGGTTAGAAGATGGGCCTGTGATCGGAAAGTCGCAGGTTCAACTCCCGGTACCGTCAACATCAAAATGTGGGAGAAAAAGGTGGAACACCCACACCTGCCTCCACCGTCATTCGCCCCACTCTGGGCCCCTGAGCAAGACCCTTAACCCCCACCATCTGCTCCATAAACAGGTCTCTCTTGAAAATGAGTTCTCGTGGCTCAATGAGACTACCTGTATAAATAAAGAGTAAAAAAAAAAAAGCTCTTTATCTTGATGTCATAGTCTGGATTATTTCATTACAAGTCTTGGTATAGTTTTAGCTTTTTAGTCGATGTTCTTGGTTTTGTTCTCATATTGTCACAACCACAAGATGTCCTCAGTTGTCTTTTTTTCCACAACTCTACACCACCTGTCTCCCATTAGTAATCAGCACACATAACCCTACTCCTCACACTCATTAAACAGATTCAGTAGTTTTTGGCATGCATTACAATGTAAGGCCAAATGTTCCCTTCTTTTCTTGTGGTTTGGACAGACTCAGCAGATCCATTGCTTACATAGCTGCCATTTTGAATTTTTGGAACCAGAGTCTGTGCATTAGAGGTCTGAGGTTTCATGTCCCACTTACTCTCCTGCACACATCCAAGCTGCCATGCTCTGTGTTGTGAAGAACCCAAGTGCAAGCAGACATGGGAGACTCAAAGGTAAAATAAATACTTTCTATTAAGCAAAAACCAAATCTGATGGGGAAGTGAAACTTACGTAAAACGATGAAACAATGGAGGAACAAAAAAAAAAAAAGACAGGTTGCAGGACAATGCATGGACAAAGAGGAAACAGAGACACTGACTTTAAAGGGAGACTAACAAGACAAACTAGAAAGTTCCTGGAGAAACTTTGACTGGGACTGCCTATTTATTATTAAAGTATTATTAACAGTAAATATTCATCCATCCATCCATTTTCTTTACCCGTTTATTCCATTTTGGGTCACGGGGGTCGCTGGTGCCCATGTCCAGCAATCACTGTGCGAGGGGCGGGGTACACCCTGGATGGGTCGCAAGTCCATCACAGGGCCACATAGAGACAAACGAGACAAACAACCATTCACTCTCTCACTCACACCTAGGGACAATTTAGAGTTACCAATCAGCCTAACATGCATGTTTTTGGTCTGTGGGAGGAAACCGGAGTACCCGGAGAAAACCCACGCATGCACGGAGAGAACATGCAAACTCCACCCAGAAAGGCCCCTGGACCGGGGTTTGAACCAGGGACCTGCTCGCTGAGAGGCAGCAGCTCTACTAGTTGCGCCACCGTGCTGCCACAGTAAATATTATTAATTATTAATAATAATTAATTATTAATATATCATTGATTTATTAATTATTATAAACTATTAATATATTGATAATAATAAGTAATACTAAATATAAATTGTTAATATTAATAATTACTAATGTTATTATTTGTAATTATTAAAATGAATCATTACATACATATACATTTGTAAGACAGACCTTTAAACATTTAAAGATAAAAACAAAGAAATAAAAGAACATGCTGTCCTGATTTTTGTATTCAGTCTTGTTTTTCAAAGCTTTAATAGATAAAACAGCAACAAGCACATCCGCTCATTAAACACTGATTTGTTGTTCCAGACCAGTTTACAGGTTGTTTGTGTGAAAACATGTTGACAGTATGAAAGCTGTGATTATATTAACTCCCCCACAGTCATCATCCTGACTCATTTCCTCTTCCCATCATCGTCTTTACTCACCTTGCCTTTCTCAATTAAGGAGAGGGACGAGGCTCGGTGTCTGGCAACAATACTAATATACCAAATAATGCACTTCGTTGTGCAGTCTAATGTCTAATGAGCTGACAGCAGGTTGCCACCAAGTCTGCGCTGTGGCTCAAATTGCTCCTAACTGTTGTTGTCCTGGAGGAGGAGGAGCCTCTTTTGCGTATATCTTTCTTTTTGAACATAAAATACTCCAGAGAAGCCTTTCAATTGAAATGATTGCAATACTTGTAAAAAAAAAAAAAAAAAAACAAAAAAAAACTATCATCTGAGCAATTAGTTTTCTGAGGTTCAGCTTCAAGATCTTTTAAAGTAGGTTTTATAAAAAGGTGAACAATTAATATCTTACCTGTTGCAGATAGCTCTATGAGCAAACAGTTTGGAGAAAAGGAGCTAACAAGCGAACAGTCTGATTGGAGCCAAAACTTAAGCGAATTGCCGTCATCTTATGAAATCTATTTTATTAACTTTTATGGAATTGTCTATTTTGCTTTACAGTAGTCCCTTGTTTATCGCAGGGGATCCATACCCTGAAGCCCCGCGATAAGCGAAAAACCGTGAAGTAGGGGCAGTAGTACAAGTGGCAAGTAGTAGTTTATTTTATCTATTAAAGCATTTTAAAACCTTCCCACACTATTGCAATATTCTAAACAATGCTCCTAAACTCTAAAAGAGCACAGGATGTCATGATTTCCCTCTCTCTGCCTCCGTTGCTCTCAGCCACCTGCAAGCGTTCTTGGCCACGCCCACTTCTTCGCTCTGCACGGAGAAAAGCTGATCAGCTGCAGGAGGAAGCTTATCCTGCAGTGTGGGCTGCACAAAGGTGTAGCAGGTGCAAAATAATTTATTTTAAATAAAAATTCCATGCTGATCGTGCGGCTCCTCCATCATCATTGTCATGTCCAATCTTATTTTGAAAAACCGTGATAGAGCGAATCCGCAAAAAAACTAACCGTGAAGTAGCGAGGGACTACTCTACTCAGTTGTTTATATATAACTCAGTTGTTATTTGTGATGTATACAAATCACTTTCCCTTTATTTGTGTTCACAAATGTAGTGGCAGCAGCAGCTAGCTGTAGCACTTCGGACAGGAATGTTGTAATATTTATGCTGGAGTAATGCAAAATTGATGGATATGTAAAATTGTTAAAAACTAGTATCAAATGAATTACTATGACATTTTTTAGACTAGAGATATACTTTTGATCTTTGTCCATCTATTCCTCCACACATAGAGCTATCTACAACAGGTGAGATATTGTTTTCCTAGGTTTTCCACTGAACCTCATTTCATAAGTTCAGAACTATCCCTTGAACGTGCAATTTTTATATTAAGTGCCATTTTAAAACACTTCCACCCCCATATACAACCTCCTACAGCTTGGTGGGCTTCTATTTACATTTATTTACAGTTTGGAGTTTAAAGGGTCAGAGCTCTTTCAAAATTGCATCACTCAGCCTTTTTTAAAAACAGCTACAAGTCATAGCTTTGAAAACAAATAAAGTCTGAAGGTGTGGCAAAAGCTTGTTTTAAATTTTTGAGGTTTCTCAAAAATTTGATTGTGATCCTCCCATTGTGTTTTCTAAAAAGTGTAACTAAAGCAACAGCTTGTTAATTTTGTTAAAGGTCTCATTTTGAACTTTTTGCCTTCTAAATATAACTTAACGCCATCGTTGTTATCTTGGAGAGTTCAGAGGTTAGTGTTAACTCTTGCAAACACACATGTAACTGATTTGGTGTTTTTTACGCAGCAAAGAATGGAAACTGCAGCGGTTTTCTTATTTTCAACAGATGGCAGACTACCAACCATAATACCCACAATGCACCTCTCTCCATTTCACAGGTACTAATATAAAACACCAAAACAAGTGAAAACACTTTCAGTTAGGCTCACACAATACTCCAAAACATTTATTAAATTCTCACAGTTTTTACACTTTACAGGTGACACAGGGTGGCACAGTGGAGCAAGTGGTCTGAGCTGTCGCCTCTCAGCGATAAAGTCGCACGTTCGACTCCCGGCCTGGGGTCTTTGTGTGTGGAGTTTAAATGTTCTCCCAGTGCAAGTGGTGGATTTTCTTGGTGTAAATGGATGGACGTGATACAGAACAGGCTTCTGTATTTCCGGACACCATCACTGTCTTTAAAATATTTACAGATCCCGTTTAGGGTTTTTTTATGTTTTGTTTTTGTCTGTTTATCTTGTGAATACTGGCGGCTTGAGTTGCAGGTTTTCCACTTATGCTCGAGGTCTCCAAAATAACTCAGGTGTCTGTTGCTCCATGCCGCAGCCTGAGGGGAATGTGTGAAATTCTGGATGGTGTTGTGAGAGGCCGAGGGCAGAGGTTACACGAAGGAAGGAGTTAAGGGTAAAAACTGCACACATCAGCCTTCAGGGCCCTGTCACGTTGATAAATCGGACCCTTTAGATCACTTAAGCAACAACAGAGAGGGAGATTTGTCTAGACACGCTGTCTAGACTCCACCGACTCAAAAATGGAAAAAGAAAAATCCAGAAATTTTGATGGATGGTTCGCTAAAGTACAGGTTGGAGAAACAGTATGTTTGCCCCATAATAAATACCACGTGGAGTCTACTTTTGGAAGAGGAAGGGTCAAGGCATGTAGAATTTTGAACGAAGGGTCTTGTCAGCAAGGCTTTGGAAAATCAAACACTGGGAAGATGAGAGCAGGGAGAAGAATCACACTGGCAAAAAAAAAAAAAAAACTCACTGTTTATACACCCAGCGTGCCCGTAGGCTTCACTAAATTCTTTACAGCGTCACATCTTTACTGACTGTTTAGCCTAGCCCGGCATGAATCTGCTCTCTCTCGTCTTACATGCACAGAAAGCACAACAGTTAATAATATCTCATGCATAGAGAGAAATGATGAAATCATTACAGAAACTGTGTCAGGAACTTCAAAGCTTAAATAACAATAGAACATAAAGCATGCATCGCTAATATGTTTGTATTCCTTCACTGTTTCACATGGCTACAGTTTCAGCCCATGCACTAAAAAAAAAAATACAACAAACCATAAAAACCTCAAGTGTTGGCAAAAACCACCTCACATGATCTGCTCAGCGTCCAGCAGCAAGGGTTATAAGATGGTCTCTAACTCCTTCACAGATAAAGGGTTGTCTGGCTCTTCTCCTTGACTGCAGTCATCGTTCTCTAAGTTGGGTCTGGTGTTTCTGGTAAAAACCCTCGACTCGGACCCTGCTGGTTTCCACACAGACAGGCCCTGCTGGGAGCTTGAAGCCTCCGTGGTGCTGGGAGTGTACACGCACAGGCTGCTGTGAGCGCGGAGGGACACGCTGTGCCGTGGCAGCTTGACCCCTGAGCCCACCATTCCTCCTGTGAAGGAAAACGCTCTGGGATAAGTGGCAGGCATGCAGACGCTCTGGGTGGTGGCGTGGGACATCATGCCACCGTAGTAACAGCTTCCTCCCCCGCTGCTGGTTATCCTGGCTTTCTGTTTGAGGTCCAACACCAGGTTACGTCTTAACCACGCCTTTTTCACCTCTGCCTGCACCTGAGGAGAAGCAGTTAGGGGCTTTCTCAATACTTTTGATCTATTTTAAACCTGCTTATAAAAATGTAGCTGCAGGACCTTAATTTAGCTTAATTACCTCCCCGTTGCAGAAGCAGTAGATAAACGCCACAAAAAACCCCTGAAAAAAAAAGTTATGCGCTAAAATACATCAAGTTTAACAATAAATGAAAGAGAAATTACTTAACCAGATGCGTCACACTAAATATTCATCCTGACCTGGGAAGAGTTGAAGAACATCTCATAATGCATCTGCACCTGCCACAGCAGCCCAGTAACCTCCGTGTAAGGAAGAGCCATGAACACAATGTAGTGGACTCCAAACAAGGGCATGAGGACTAAAGTGGACTTCAGCAGCTTCCTGAAGGGCGCAATAAAAAGTAAGTGTTCACGTGGCGATTGTTCACGTTCTGTCAGCTTGGAGGATTTACGGTGAACCTCACTTCAAGGGGAGAGTTTGGATGTTTAGAAAAGTGGTTTCTTACTTATTCAGCAATCAGTATCTAACCTGCAGTAGACAGAAGTTACAACAAGTTCAGTTTGGGGAATCGGGAAGGAATTCTCATTGAAGAGTCAAGTGAACCGTTAGACTGGAGACTAGGATTCATCCACCTACAAACACTCCAACTCACAGATTTATTAACATTTCAAGCAAACGCTACGTTGCAGATTTTACAACAATAAATTTTGCGTCAGATAGTTACACAGACTGGATACAATCAACAGATTTTGTTTTGCCACACGATTTTTCTCAATATACATCTTCTACTGCTAAATCCAGGATAGTAATCCAGCCATCAAAGTTCATGCTCAATAATTCAAGTAAAAAATCCGACAATGTTCAGTCAGGTACTCTATTAAAAAAAAAACGTTTTGTCCTTCATCCAAAGGACTTCATCAGTCCAAGGAGCCACAACAAACTCAGTCCCACAAGAAGCACAATCACATAGTGGGCCAACCAGTTTGATGGTGATAAGATGGTTTCTGGGGGAGAGGGCGGACTCCAGAAATCATCTTATCGCCATCAAACTGGTTGGTCCACTATGTGAGTGTGCTGCTTGTGGGACAGGGTTTATTGTGGCTCCTTGGGCTGATGAAGTCCTTTGGATGAAGGACGAAACATTTCATCAAAAACGAAACTGTCCAGGCTTAACTTTGTTGGATAACTTAGACAACACTCTCTCCAGTTCCTTCTAGATGACCCAAAGGTGTTCCCTGGTCAAAGAAGATACACAATCCCCTCAGAGAGTTCTGGGTATGCCCTGAGGCCTCTTAACAGTAGGATATGTCCAGAAAACCGCCAAAGGGTGGTGTCCAGGAGGCCCCATATAAAGGAAGCTCACTTTAGCTGCTTGTTTCTGGGATCGTGTTTTTTCGGTCATGATCCAAACCTGATGGCCACCCCACAGGTGAGGGGTGGAACATAGACAGACCAGTAATTTGAGAGCGTTGCCTTTTGGCTTAGCACTTTCTTCACCATGACTGACCAAAGCCTCATTATTGAGGACAAGGTCGCAATATGTTGATCAAGACGCCCAGACACATTTAAGCTCCTCCAGCTGAGGCAAAGGCCCCCACCACTCAACCCAGAAGGGGCATTTTACCCATTTCCCATTGAGAACCATGGTTTAGTATCTGACACTCGTCAGCTGGGAACTGCCCCAGTGCATGATGAAGATCTTGGCTCGAAGACACCTGCAGAACCACATTTTTCACATAAAGCAGAGATGAGGTCCCAAACCAGACACTGTCCTCTCCACAAATGTGCTCTGAAATCCTGTCCATGAACACCACAAACAAGAAACAACACCCTGGAGTAAACTTTCACAAGGAGATTGTTTTATATCATATTAGTTATTATATTTGCATAGTCATTTCACTGCAGATGTTTAGTGTCATGATAGTTTTCATACGTGTGTTTGACCTTTTAATTGGTAATTTCTCTCTGAATTTTCCATGGGAGACCATGCTGCTGTCTGCTGCAGGTAAGATACTGACAAAAGACAACTATTCCTCAAAACTTCACTTTAAAAACTTCCACCTAACCTTTTCAAATAAATATTTTTAATATTTATTATTGGATGGTTGGATGAACACTTACCTGTACTGTTGTCGGGGGTCCAGTTTACCAGTGTTGGTTTCCCACAATTTTGAGGCTAGTACACGGATTATGTTGATAAAAAGGAGGAAGTTCACCTGCATGGGCAGAAATATAAAGTTATCTTGTTCGATTAGGCAGATACACTTTAATGTTATTTAAAACAAATGAGCTTATTCTTACAACAATGGCTGCCAGAATGGGAACTTGATAGATCCATTTCAGGTTTCCAGCACTGATGTCCCAACATCTGAATGCGGGAAGGAAACCGCTCAAGTTAACGTTCATCAACCAAATAATCTAAAAGTCAAGACATGCTACAGGACTCACTGAGTGTCTGCCAGCGAAGCTCGTGCACTGACCCATATGGACACAAACACTGCTGGAACACCTGGAATGCGTGGAAAGATAAATTAAAGAAATTGCGTTTCTTGCGAAAATTCATTGTGAATGCTTATTGCTGAAGAATTTGCTGAAAATAGTTGAAATGAGCTAAAACAAAAGCAGAGATTAGCAAACAACAGCTGAAAAGTCAGAAAGAAGTTTAGCAGAAAAAAGCTGAAAGTAGCAGAAATTATCACGAAAAACGAATTTATTTGAAATTAGCTACAAAATGCTAAAAAGGTAGTTGAAAATTGAAAACAAGCTTAAATTACCAAAAGGAAGTGGAGAGAGCATAATTGTGCTCAATTAGGCTGAAAGAAACAGAAATGAGCACAAAAAAGTTGAAATTATCTGGAAAATGCTGAAATTAGCACAAAACAGCTGAATAGTAGCAAAATAAGCTAAAATAAGCCTAAATTACCAAAGGGAAGTCAAGAAAGCACGTTTTTGCTGAAAAAGTTTGAAAAAAGTTTAAATGAGTGCAAAAAATGTGGAATTAGCTGGAAAGGCTAAAATTAGCATAAAAGCAGCTAAATAGTAGCAGAAATAGCAGAAAAATCAGAACCTTGCAGAAATAAGCTGACAGGGGAATAACAAGCTGCAATTAGCAGAAAAAAGTTAGAAGAAGCACAAAAATGTTGTAGTTAGCAGAAAGATCCTAAAAGAAGCAAAAAAACAGCTGAAAAATCTGCTGAAATTGTCTGAAATTAACGGAAAAAAGTTTAAATTTGCACAAGGAAGCTAAAAGAAGCTGAACTGGAACAAAATGTGAAAGGAGCAGTAAAAGGTTGTAAACAGACCTAAAGATTTGAAGGATGTAAAATGAGCTCAAATCATTTTCTATGAGGAAAAAATGGCAGAAAAGGCTAAATATTTCAAAAAGCTAAAGTTGCACCAATACAAAAAGTCATAGCAACCTTTTCCTTAACAAGCTGAATGGTTCGATATATGATTTGTTGAAATAGCACAAAAATTGTGGAATGAGAAAGATGCAGAAATAGGTATGGAAGAAGTAAAAAACACAAAATAATAAATATAAACAGGATCACAATAGTGTGAATGATTCATAAAGATTCACACAATTAGCCGATTGTGCTTCAACCGATTGTGCTTCAACCGTAGTGCGGAGCCTGCTGGAGAGCCACTTACCCCAACCCATGATGGTCAGAGCCCACAGGTAGTTCTTGTCAGACAGGAAGGCCATAAAGATGAGGCTATGGAGGTACAAGCCCTCCACCAGAATCCAGTAATGATTGGTTGCCAGGAAGTACAGGAAGAGAGTAACAGCCGCTTTACAGCCAGCCTGGTGGAAGCAGGAAAATGCATCAAGCCATTACCGTAAGTTTTGTTTGAGCACTGGGGTCTAGTAAATAATCTGCTATTTTAGTCCATTTATGCTCAAATTCCTGCTGAGTTTTAGACACACCACTGCCATGCTTAGCTAAGCAGAAAGACAAGTATAGGATGGGGTCACTGAACGATGAAAGGAGGTTAAAAAAAGTGGGAAAGTTTGTGTGCATTAATGTGTACATTAAATGAATGATATTATGTGCATTTATTAAAAATTTTCACATTTTTGTTATACATTTCCTAAATAATTACTTTTGGTAAAGCTAGCCGACAAGCTAGTGGCTGAAGTTTCCTATTTGAAAATACTTGAACATTAATCATCTAGTTCTTGTTTTAATTTTTGAATATCAACTCTCTGCGTTCTGCCAAATGAACGGAACCATTTCTTGAAAAGACGTCACCTTTAGCAGGTTGTAGCAACATTACACTGTGCGAATGTAAAGGTGTGTTCATTTACCATATGAGGTCTTTCTGTTGTGAACGCTGAGTCAGTTTTGTTGCCATCGGACACGGAGTAGAGCACAGCGTCTTTCACAAAGATGCTCACAGCTCGACAAATGAAGGAGGCGAAGAGGTGAATGTGAATGTAATTACGTGTACAGTGGAGGCGCCTGGAAAGAGTTGGTGACAAAACAAATGGAAAATAAATTTGTTTGCTAGTATTCAAATCTTATAATAAAGCTGCCCTGAACACTGCAGCAAACCTTATAAGCCCCTTGAGGTGAGTAATGTGACAAAATAGACAAACGTTTTCTGGTTTCTTACTTAAAATAGCACAAGATGGAGACTGCCACCAACAGGGATGCTAGAGAAATGGAGTAGCCCACGGTGTACATGACATGGAGCCGTTGAAACACCTTCTGAAACAAAACACAGGCACTTTTAAAGCATTTATCTTGTCCAAGCAGAAAATGATAAACAACCAAGTGACAAAAAAATAGAATATATTCTATATGTAGTTCAACGTTTTGTAAACACTAACACATATTTAAGAATGCCGTATTTGTCGCCGTATGAGTCAGTTTTTTGCATAATTTGCATGCTCTGAGACTTATGTGCCGAAGCGACATATTTATGGATTTCCCCCCATATTTATAAAACAATTTTTGGCTGAAATAATGACATTTTATTTATTCTGACTGAAAATATTTAACACTACCATTTTCAGCCGCTAGATGGTACTCAAATAGTATGGCATGCCGTTATATCATGTAATAGGTAAAAGTGGCTATTAATGACACAATTGGCTTGCCACAGACTCCCACCGTCGTCTGCCTGGAGCAACCGTCAAATCAGCTTCATTTTGCTGCACCGCCCTGGTGAAATGAAGCTGATTTGACCATTGAAGTGCATTTATTAAGAAAAAGTTTGACTGAGACACACTTTTACTATAAAGTCGAGCAAACAAATATTTGTTTTAGGTGGTTATATTGTTAAATTTCGAAGAAATGCACAGCTAGTTGTTCTTCTGCGCACTCCTGATTCTGCGTATCGGCTTTTGAAATGCAACTGATTTGTCCGTCAAAGTGCATTTATTAAGGAAAAGTTAGACTGAGACACATCTTTGCTATAATTTTGAGCAAACAAATAATTGTTTTTAAGTGTTAATCTTGTTAAATTCTTGTTAAAGTCCTCCAGTGCACGCCCCCGCGGCTGCCATTTGGCAGCCAATCAATTTTTGGCACAACACCGGTCCACATTTCTGGGTTGTCAGCGGTGACGCGTAACAAACGCGACGCATCAGCAGTGACGCATAATAGATGCAACGTAGTGACGTATTTATGGATTTTTCCACTTTATTAGACATAATTGGACTGATGCGACTTATAGGGTGGTGCAACGTTTACAACAAAAGATACAGTATGCAAAAACCATTAGCATCATTAAAAGTGAGACATTACAGACTTTTCATTACTTCTGACACTTTAAAATCAGAAAATAATATAAAGACTGCATACTAGATTTGATTTTGACCAGACAAAACATATTTAAGTGACAAGCAGATTAAATGTTTAGGGGACCGAACACACCTCCTCGAGTTTTCTGTGGTCGGACATGAGGTACCGGGTGCACTCGGTGTAGTTTGCCCAGGTTCGGTTGTTACTGGGCACCAGCTCCCAGTTCCCGGACAGGTCACACTGGCGGTAGGCTCGCCCTGAATCATAGAGAGGGTGGGGGGACAAAGTCATATGAAGCACTAACAGACTTTACACCCCGAGTGACTCCACAAATCAATTTTTAGTTTTCTTTCTTCACAGACTATATTCAAGCCATGTAAGAGAATAAAGCCAGGATTTGATTATTTATGGAACTCTCCTACCTCTGTGGTTAAAGTCATAGATGTACTCGGGACACAGCACTGAGACCAGCTGACCCGATCTGCTTCGAGGCCAGCAGATAATCCCATCCCACTCTGGGACACAGTCGCCTTCTTCAAAAATAACGAGAATCAGCGCCAGCCGTGTTAAAACAAATAAAAGGTGGAGATGTTATATTTTTCTGTTTTTAATTTTCATGTGCTGTTTTCTTTAAATACACCGACAGTGCTACATACGAAAAATATCAAGTTGATCCTTATGTTTAGGTGGGGATTCCAAGTCGTATATCTTACTTCTCTGACAGAAGTTTTAGTGCTTATTTAAACCAGATCCTGTCCAGAATGAATATCCTGTAATGTAGGGGTTCCTCGGGGTTCTGGTTTGGGATCAGAACCCGTCTTGCTTTCTACGCTCTCTCAAGGACAGATACATCTAGCAACAGCTCATAAGACATGTGTGCAGTTGGCATTCAACTTTTCTGTTTCTTTAGAGAATCTGGGCTCCTGAATTTGTTCAGTTTACTTGCTTTTTTTAATTATTATTATATCTTAAAAAAAATAGCAAAGCCAGAACTTTCAGTTGAACTTTAAAAGGACACATGGTGTCTGATCGTTGCTGCTGACAGCACAAGTCAGGCAACAAGTTGACCGTTTAGACTCAGCTGTCCAGGCAAGTTTGAGAAAAGAATGTCTGTTAGACCAGTTTATGTTTCTGGACCGTCACTCCAAACAGTTGGTCCACTGGTTTCTCTAAGTCCTTATATGCAGTGGTGTAGTCTACATTTTTATAGTGGGTATACTGTGCTTAGAAACCAAAGTACACTGGTTAGTACAATGTATATGTTAATTTATTTTTGATTTTTAAGCAAACTGAACATTTTAAAGTTTCTCTGATGCTTTTATTTGAATAAATGTACAACAAACTTTGTACAACAGTTGGCTTTTTGTTATAGAATGTATAAAACAGTATCAAAGCAAAACATGTTCAAGTATTAAGCAGTAAATGCAGAAGTATTAATTATACAAAAAGCAGGTTGAACTAACTCAGTGTGTCTATAAAATGTTCCAGATGTGTTGACATGGCTTGTGTCATTGGACACTTCTAAGTGGGTACATTGAAATTCCCACACTTTTCTAGTGGGTGTACTCCGTATACCTGTGTATCACATAGACTACACTGCTGCTAAAAAGGTATAAATTAGGAACCAAGAAAAATGTTTGACTTTTTCACAGTGCTGTTGGAAAGACGAGCCCGTGTTTGTTGATGGTCCGGTCTTTGGATTTTCTGTAACCTCGGGATTATAAGAGGTGCACTCTAAAGCACAAACCATTTCCACTTTAATGGTTTGACTTCTGCTCAAATGACTGAGTCATCTCAGGCAGAGTCAGTGTTAGTTTGTAAAGCTAACTATTTGTTGTTGTCATATAAGCTTCGTTCTTTAAAGCACTTTAAAAGTAGCTCTTGTACAGACAAGTGTGAGTCAAGAGGCACGTTTACATATTTTTTTGCTATAGTGTGTTTTTCTTTCTCCAGGGTTGACTCGTGATTTATATATAAAGCATTAAATCACTAGAGACAGTCGCCTGCAGGGCTTAAATCTTCTCAATGATAACGTCTGTTTTGCTGCTGCCAGTCTTTCACTGGATCCACAACATAAAGGTATCCTTTAGTTAGAAAAAACTAAAATCAAGTCACCCCGAGCTAAAGTAGACGTGACATCCGTGTCAGAATCATAGAAAACAGAAAATGACTGCTAATTGGGTCACTGTTGTTGTTTTTTGTTTCGTTACATTTTTGAAAATCTAATTCTGCTTACTTTGTTTTATTTTAGCCTTTCTCTTGACAAAACCTTCACCTCATTCAGGAAATCACTGCTATAACTTCTGGTTTTTGTACCCTTTGAATTGTTCAAATTTTCTACTAAATAATTTCCTTATAGAAGTATGCTGAATGCTCTTCAAACTGTTCAAAAACAGTGGTTTTATCTGCTTCAGCAAAGATGTTGTTTTTGTATTTTATTTTATTTTTTGCGTCTTTTTGTTTTAGATAGCATTAATGCTATACTATAGTGGTGCTTGAAAGTTTGTGAAGCCTTTAGAATTTCCTATATTTCTATATTATTCTATGTCAGATTTTCACACAACTTCTAAAAGTAGATAAAGAGAACCCAATTAAACAATTGGCTCAAAAATATTATACTTGGTCATTTATTTATTGAGGAAAATGATCCAATATTACATATTTGTGAGTGGTAAAAATATGTGAACCTCTAGGATTAGTCGTTAATTTGAAGGTGAAATTAGAGTCAGGTGTTTTCAATCAATGGGATGATGATCAGGTGTGAGTGGACACCATGTTTGATTTAAAGAACAAGATCTATCAAAGTCTGTTCTTCACAACATGTTTGTGGAAGTGGATCATGGCAGGAACAGAGGAGATTTCTGAGGAGCTCAGACAAAGAGTTGTTGATGCTCATCAGGCTGGAAAAGGTTAAAAACCATCTCTAAAGAGTTTGGACTCCACTGATCCACAGTCAGACAGATTGTGTACAAATGGAGGAAATTCAAGACCATTGTTAGACCATTGTTAGACCATTGTTAGACCATAGTTAGACCATTGTTAGACCATTGTTAGACCAGTGTTAGACCATTGTTAGGAGTGGTGGACCAACAAAGATCACTTCAAGAACAAGGCGTGGAATAGTCAGCGAGGTCACAGAGGACCACAGGGTAACTTCTAAGCAACTGAAGGCCTCTCTCACATTTTAACGTTCATGAGTCCACCATCAGGAGAACACTGAACAACAAAGATGTGCATGGCAGGGTTGAAGGAGGAAGCCACTGCTCTCCAACAAGAACATTGCTGCTTGTCTGCAATTTGTTAAATCATGTGTTGGAAGAATGTTTTGTGGACGGATGAGACCAAAATAGAACTTTTTTGGTTTGAATGAAAAGTGTTCTGTTTGGAGACAGGAAAATTCTGCATTCCTGCATAAGAACCTTATCCCATCTATGAAACATGGTGGTAGTAGTTTCATGGTTTGGGCCTGTTTTGCTGCATTTGGGCCAGGATGTCTTGTCATCACTGATGGAACAATGAATTCTGAATTGTATCATAGGATTATAAAGGAAAATGTCAGGACATCTGTCCGTGAACTGAATCTAATAGAAGGTGGGTCATGCAGCAACACAATGTCTCTAAACATAGTGGTTCTACCAAAGAATGGTTCAAGAAGAATAAAGTTCACGTTTTGGAATGGCCGAGTCAAAGTCCTGACCTTAATCAATTCCGTTCAATTCAGTTTATTTATATAGCACCAAGTGACAACAGAAGTTATCTCAAGGCACTGAACAAAAAGATTCACATACATAAAAGTCAATTAGTGATGTTATTTATCTAAAGAAGCCAGCAGATTGCATTGAGTCTTCATTTTGTCGCAGTCTCCCGTCCTGAGCAAGCACAAAGGCGACAGTGGAAAGGAAATCCAATCCACATGTTGTGGAATGACCTGAAGCAGCAGTTAATGCAAGCAAACCACCTACATCTCAGAGCTGAAGCTGTTCTGTACGGAGGAATGAGCTAAAATTCCTCCGAGCCATTGAGCAGGACTCTGGAGTGTCACACCAGATACTGAAAGCAAAGGTTCACATACTTTTACCACTCAAAAATATGTAGTATTGGATCATTTTCCTCAATAAATAAATGACCAAGTATAACATTTTTGTCTCATTTCTTTAAGTGGGTTCTCTTTACCAACTTTTAGGACTTCTGATGATGTTTTAGGTCATATTTATGCAGAAATATAGAAAATTATAAAGTGTACACTAACTTTCAAGCACCACTGCATATAACTACTTTTAACATTTAGCCAGATTTTTTTTTTTTTTTTGCAGTTTTAGGCTGATAATTTGCTACTTTTAACCATAAACTACCTTTTGACTACTTTTTAACTAGCATTTAGTAATTTTTCCTGTTTTTCTAGTTCAAGTTTTCACATGTCATTTTTCTACTTTTAGCTCTTTGCTAGCGTTTTGTTACTTGCAGGTTTTAGCTACTTTTAGCATGTCTTCTTTTTAACGTTCTCAACCGTTTCAGCTTTATCTGCAAATTTCTGCAACTTGCTGAAAACCTGCTATTTGCTCACTATTTAAAAAAGATTTACAAGTAAATAAATAGTCTCTTGTTTGATCTGGTTTACGAGTTGTTCGGTGCTGATGATAATTTCTTTTCTTATTGTTAATAACCGTAATAAAAATGAAGAACAGTAAGAAGCTGGTGTTATTACAGATAAATTTGTAGATTTTTTATGACTGGCCTAACTCTGAGTGTAACTTGTTTAGTTTTGCACTCTGGCTGGCGTTTTCTCTCAACATCAATCTGTGCTTCTATCTAATGAAATCTTCGTCCTGATGCCATGAATCGTCTCAACTCTCATGCCTTCCACTTTATAATCCAAATTAAATGAATTGCTGATATAAATTCAGCAGATACTGCTCAGCAGGATATTGGAAGGATGCTATATCTGATCCTAAATAAATAACAAACGTTGTAATTATAATTAATTGTTTTCTGGTTACATATTTAGACGTGCACTCACTGACTTCAAAGGTCAGGATAAATCAGAAACGATCAAAAGCAGCACAGAAACCTTTAATGAGGGCCGACTGTGCCCGGATGCTCCTTTCACACCTGGCGTGGGCGCCAATCAGAACGTAGATCTGCTCGTCTCGGGTGATGACGTCATCGGAGTCTATCTGCAGATGACGGAGTGGATAAAAAAAATAAAAAAAATTAAAAACAAGCAAGTTAAGGAAAGTAAATGAAACAAAATCCAAAGGATGATTTATTTCAAGCATCAAAGGCCAAAAGGAGTATCTTCGGCTGCAAATCAGTAAAATTCACACAAAAATTTGCATGAGAGATTTCCAGAGGGTGATCTGTCATCCGCAGACACTCTCCAGGGTCTGATGTGCTGCCTCCAGGTGTTGTGAAATTGTTGTGTGAGGGTGTGGTATGTGGTGCTCCCCTGCTAACCCCTTTCTGCCCGGCGGCGGAGCTGGCGCTGGCCGCACGAGGGCCTTCGTGCTCAGCACCGTGGGCCGTGGCTAAACGCTGGTGCGAGCTGAGCTCCACAAACAACTTCTTGTACCCGGCTACATTTCACAACACAGCAGCAAAACAAACGGAGTCATCCGGAGAACAAGAGGTTACAGAGATGTCAATCAATTCGCCTTCGAGAGTTAAGATAGCTGTTTGGAGATTACTTGGCGTGAAGCTGGGCGGAATGGGTCGCTCGTCTTTTACAAGTTCTGGTCATTTTTTATTCACAAACTGAAGATTTTTAATGGAAAAGCTGCTGCGGCGAAGGACGCAAGCGCTCCAGATGACAGCTGCTCTCCTCAGAAGACAAACAAAATTCTTGTCAAATGGGCAGAATTCCTTCTGGAGCGATTCATGCAACTGGATACGTGTTAAGTGATCCTCCTGGCAAAGGCCATAAAAAATAAACTGCCAGTGGGAGAGCCGTGTTTTCAATCAGCACTCGAGACGCAGCATTGGCCATTTGCTTCGGGAAGGGAGAGGTCAATACAGAAGCTGGGAACCGAGAGGGTCGAGCCTCTTATTGTTTGTGAGACGGCTCAGGTTGGTCTGGCTGTCGCTCCGCGTTAATTACAGCGCGTGCGGCACATGTGTGCGTCCGTTTGTGTGGCAGCAATCCTCCTTTAACACGCATTGATTTTGTGCTTTGCTGAAAACAATCAACATCTGTATACGAGGAGGTCACTCACGTTCCTGTGCACAGAGAGGCTGTCTGCTGACAGATAGTGCTTTTTTGCAAAACAATTAGTCTTTGCATGCACTCCCCCCTTTGTGCTGGAAGAGCATTAACCCTCTCAGGCCTCATCTTTAGGCAAACTGATTTTCAGGCCGACTGATCCAGAGATTGTAAGTCTGTCAGATGTCGACACACAGAGATCGACCCGTGGAAGATTAAGTGATGAGCTGAAGTGGCTCAGAGGTGACTGCTGTCAGGATTAGTGGCTGCAGGGTAATGCTTTACTGAGTGAGAGTCTGGAAAGGTTACATTGGATGACGGTGGCTCGTGACGTCGTTCAGGTAATTTCTAATGGAAAAAACTCCAATTGGGTGGTGGCGGGGGGGGGGGGGTCTTTTGCTTTTCAGTCAATTAATCACTTTCAGGAGAAGGGAAGCTGCACAAAAACACGCGTCTGAGGCTCCACAGGCCCAGACATTATCTCCAAACGGTGCAGATAAACGAAGCGCCACAGATGGAGAGACAACCATCAGAAAATTCCTCCAAGAGCACGGTGACAGGAAGCGAAGCGAAATATCCAGGAGAGGCCAGATCAAAGGAACCGTGGCCTCTCTCACCTTATTAAAGATCAGATTGCAGCGTCGGAAAGACGTAAAGTAAAAGTGGCATCTAAAGAACGAACGCCAGGGAGCTGGAGGGACCTTCAACCTTTTTAGGAGAAAGTGTTGAACGGGAAAATCAAGAACAGGCTGAGAGGAGGACACTGGTTTTGATCGTTTTGTTATGGAAACCAGAAAAAGAATTCAAAAATCAAACTGTTTTTTTTTTTCTAAAAATATCATTTCCCATACACTAGAAAACATGAAATCATTACTTCAACAGATAATGCTCATTTTGTGTGAAGTCCTACTGGAGCTCTGCAAAGTGACGCAAGGAGACGATGGTTGTAAATGTATTTCTGAATGGTTGAAATGGTTTCCAGTAAAAATCTGAACCCATGGGGCGATAAAGCCACCAAGCACATGAAGGTGAAATACGTCCCTGCTTGTCTTGCAGAGAAACAAGTTTTCTATAAATCATGGAGATCTGATTGTTTTCCCTCTAACGTTGTTTTAGTGTTCATATTTGGTCATGTTTTACTTCTTTTATTACTGCTTTTACTTATTTATGCAATTTATCGTTTATTATATTATTCCATATTCATCTGAAGCCACAATTTGTTCTTGCTGTATCCTAATATTTGAGTTTTGTTGGGATTATTTGACGTCTTATGCTCATAATGCCTCAGTTTCTTCTCTTTGTGTCTCATTTTTGATCTTCTTGAATCTCATATTAGCCTGATTTGTAACAATTCTGTTCTATTTTTGTAATGCTGCATCTCCTAACACTTATGGTTTTCATTTTCAGTTCAGCTTAACTATTTAGTTTAGCTATTTTTGTTTATCTGGGTGCTTCTGTAGTTGTAAATCATGCCAGAATTTACACAAAAACACAAATAAATACAGAAAATAGTATTCAGAAGTTAAACAGAGCTAAGTCTTTAATGTATTTTTAAGTAACTGTACATTTTTTTTCAGGTCTTGACAAGTTTCAATACTTCCTGCTACACTAACTGGTCAATCCCTGCAAAAATGTGTGAACAGACATAAGAAAAGTAAACTAATAAATCATAAATCGTATAGAATTACACAGCTGGGGTCGTAAATTACCCAACTCAGTCAGTTGAAAGTTAATAATTGTCTAAATAATAAGCCAATTTTGGTCCTTTTTATCAGTTTGATAACTTTGTGTCTCAACTTGTTTTGTAATCTTACCTTTTTTGTTTTTTTAACTACATTTCTGCCTCGTTTCGATGATTTGTCATGTTTCTTTGTGCTCATTCACTAAAAATGCCCCTCTTATGTGGTTTGTCTGTAATTCGTCTGAGATAAATCCTGTCCTGCCCACGTCTAAACCTCAGTGAAATGTCGTTTTAACAGAACCAAACTCGAGCCACAGTCAGATCTACAAAGTGGAGTTGTTGATCATTCCTGCACATGTATCAAACGTGGTTTCAGTTGTTGCTCCTAAAGGTGGCCTCTCTTCACTTATAAGCTATCAGTGCAAGATTGTACTTTGTGTTTATTCAGCCTGCTTCTCTTTTAGATAAAATTCTTTTTTAAAACTATGTGACACAGTTTAGACTGAGAAACGGGTAAAATAATGGATACTAAAGTGAGTTGACGTGCATTTACAGCCCTTTACTGTAAAACAAAAAGATTCATGTTTGATTTAATCTAGAAAAATTAATGATATCTTGTTAGTTTTCATGGAAAAGGAAGGGTGAGACCACTTTGTCTCGCTCATAAATATTTGGTATACTTGCACAACACTGAGATGATTTGATCTAAAATTGAAACCATCAGAATGTCACCGATGCGTGAAATTTTCTAACTTTGGCCTAAATTGTTTTGGAGCGACGTTTCTGACAGTGTTGTGCTAACATGTAAGATTTGTCTGTAAAATGGTTCATATAAGAACGTAAAACCTAATTTTTCAGAATTAATTGCAAATTTACACACTGTTTCCACACAAGTGCAACAAAAAGTAATGTTTTAGATTAAAAATAATCTTGTGTTTGACCAGAATATATTCAAATGTTTACATTAATTATTAATTTTGGCTAGTTCTTCATATATGAAGTAAAAAAAAAAAAGACAAAATGAACTTATATGTTCAGCTATTTTTTCTAATTTGAAGCAAATAAATCAAAAATAACAGAAAAATAAAAGCTAATTTAAGAAAAAGGGTAAGTATGCTCAATCATCCAGGTAAATCAATTACAAAAAAGTTAAATCATGTCATCTGGACAGTTTCTTTTTATTAAAAGCTCATTTTAATTATTTGTAAACTATTGATCATTACAATACATACACTAAAAAAATGTATTTAATGTTCATGTTACAGTTTTATTAATAAAATCTAACATTGTTTCTAAAAAAATAAAATTTTTTAAAAAATTCTAAGAAATTTTAAAGTTTTAAGTATTTTTGACTAAAACTAAAAAATGATTTAGCCGTATATTTTTATTATTAACGATTAACAAAACATATTAGATTTAAACAGCTGACAAATGCAGCAACTTCAGCAAATACTGCAAAAATCAAAAGCGCTTAAGTGTGTTTGGTAAAGTAAAAGGCAGTAATTGTAATTAATTTACAACAGAAAAATATAATAATTCACCATAAAAACTGGTGTTTAGATACAGCAAGGTGACTGTAAAAAATAAACAAAAAAGTGTCTGACTGCAAATGTTACAGGTAGTGCAGGAACCTGCTCAATTAAATGAGACTTGTCAAAAAGTTGATGAAAATACTCACCAGTGCAGTAATTGTTATCACACAGTGGAAAAGCACCAAAGTGCCAACTCCCTGTGAGGACAACATGATGTCTTCTCAGATCTCAAAAGAAACAACGCACAACTGTCCACGCAGTCTCACACACTGTTATTCTCCACAGGCTGATCAGATGTGACTTGTTGGAGTTTCTGAGTCCCATCAGTGCCTCAGTTTTTCTCTTATCAGTCAGAAAAATCTACTTTTACAGAATGTCTTCATATCCTTGAGTCACTTTTAACCTTTTCATCTTTCCCCTGTCTTATTCCTTTATTCTGTTAACATTCCCGTTCAGGTCTGAGGGACATGCAGCCCTCACAGTCTGAGGAGGACGGAGGAGCAGAGAGGAGGAAACCTCCTCTTTTTACAGCTCTTTGGACTGTGGATGGGTTGGCCTTGATTGGCTGACGCTCCCATGTGCTTAACTCTTTGTGCTCCTCTGCTGCGGTCATTTTGTCTTTGTTTACTGCTTTTATTTCTCCTCTGCTTTAACTCAGCTTTTATCCCCAAACCCCTCAGAAGAGTGGTCATGTTATTTTATTATTGGTACCTCTCATGACCTCCAGTGTAACTTTTACAGCACATGAAATCAATTTTACTACCAGGCTGATTATTGCCCATGAAATGACCTCCTCCTCATGTTCCTCCTCTCTCCCACGCTCCCACACGCAAACACAAACACATGCAGATAATTCAAACATGCAATATTCAGAATCTCTCTATCTGCTATATATAAGTGCCTCAAGTTCAGGCTTGGTCATAAGTCTGTTTTTATATCCTCTTAAATGAAAACAGCCTGCTTTAGTTCATCTGGAAACCAACGTTGTTTTATGGCCCGCCGCTGAATGTGGAGGCAGAGGATGGTGTCTGTGTTTGCCAACCTGTTGCCTTAGAATCTCATGAACCACTGGACGACGTTAATTTAATAAAAGTAACAAAATCAAAGTGATTCAGTGAGTTTTACAGAGCGCTAAAACATTTGCTGTGATCATAGTCGCAACGCCTGCTTCAACTTCTATACCTCCGGAGACATCTTTGTTTAAAACTTTAGCCTTAACTTTTTTTGTCTGTTAGCAAAATATCTCACGAATCACTGAGTGGTTTTTTTTTTATACTCTCAGAAATAGGAATTTGTTGTACGTCTCCAACTGGTTAACTTTTAGATTTACCACGATTCTAGATGGCGGCCACAGCCAATCAGCATGAGCAAGCACGAAATTATCTGGGACAGACGATTTATAAACATTGAGCTTTATTATTTATTTATCAGCTTATTTGTTTTATTTTAAAGCTTTGGCCAAAATGGTTGCAACTCCATCATTTCTCATCATCAGGTGATCTCAGTCTGAAACTCGAAGGACGGAGAGCGATGCTCTTCAAAGATGTCTATAATTTTGTAAAGTTTCATTTTAGATGGCATTTTAAAACAGTTTCACAATAACTTATTGGATAAATCTTTATTTTAACCTTCCCGACAATAGCAAATACAAGTAAATTATTTCTTTATTTTTAGGGGGTTGGCTTGAAATTTTTTTCTTTTACTTTTTATGTAATGTAAATGTTCTCATATGGACATTGTTAAAAAGAATGAATGTTAAAACAGAAACACTAAAAATGAGTAGGAGAATTGGTATGAAGTTTAAAATTTAACTTGGCACAGAAGAAAATGTTGAACTAGAAAATTCATGGAGGAACTTTGATGGGGTGACAATTTAAAATTTTGAATTTGACAGTATTAAGTGTTGGGGTTTGCTCTCAGCTACCATCAAATTTCAGCTTAAAATGGCAAAATATTAATGTCATTTTTTTCATTTTTTTGTTCTCAGCTATAACCTCAACAAATTTCACCTTCATATTTGTAAAAATAGCTGAGTTAAGGCCATTTAAATTTAGCTTTGGTGGCTATCATGATTTTTTTTTTTAAATTCGTTATTTATTGGGCATTGCTCTCAGCTACCACCACACCAAATTTCAGCTTAATATCTCTGAAAATGGCTGATTTACAGTATTTTTCCTTTGTAGTTCAGGCAGCCATCTTGGATATTTGATAAACTGAAAAATGACTAATAAAAATGGCATCTTTCTTTGCAAATTATGTTGCCATGGTAACCGTAAATACCATTACAAGTAATAGCACACATCCCGATGCCAAACTGATCGTTTTAATATAACATTTTTGGGGGTACACATTGCGGCTCGGGCCACATTAAAGTTGACAGCCGAGTAAGATATAAAGTTAAGAAACCCTTGTCAGGTGGATAATAATAGGTGGCTGCTTTTTACTAGGCAGTCCCCAATAAAACATTTTATCTGTTTGAGTTTTGTGATTATTCTCTCTGGAAACAAGAAATAAAAAGCAGAAACAAATCACAGTCCAGATTCACCACAATGCCTAGTTTTTTTTTATTGGTTTTAAATGTAATTCAACATATGCTGCTTTCAACAGCTTTTCTTAAAAGAGCATTTTATTTCATCAGCTTTTAAAATTTCAACTAGTTGAAGTATTAGTGACAAAACTCCATGAAATCAGAATTTTGTTCATAACATATTTTTATTTTATCGTTTCCTGTACATGCTTCTCAAGTTTCCTTTAAATACACATTACTGTATATAATCCTTTAATTTCAAATACTTTATAACTTTGGTCTTACTATCTATGTAAGTACTACGTGTTTATTGCTAAGTTAAATAATAAGAGACTTGAACAGGTGATGTTTTGACTTGCAATCATGATGCAATCAGCATTAACAAAATGGCCACCGTTCCATGTAGATTTTTACATGTTAACCTTATTGATTTAGGCAATCTCAGGATTACAAGACCACAGCACTGACCACCAAGCTACTGGGCTGTGGGTTTGAGCCCAGGTTGCATCAGGAAGTGCATCCGGCGAAAAACAATCATCAAATATTTCATGTGAATTTGCTCGCTGTGGCAATCCCTGAAGATGGGAGCAGCCAAAAGAAACGTGGGAGTGGAGGTTAAAGGCGAGCCTGTGCAGGGGCGGTCCTAGCTTGCTTGGTGCACGGGGCAAACAACCCCTCCAGCGTCTATACGCTGTGCCTTGACAATTTTAGAAAATCTGTGCACAGCAATTACACTTTGATCAAGACACAAACTTCAGATTCAGAGAGATTCAGAGATTCTTTATTGTCATTCGCACCACGTGGTGGAATGAAATTATGTACACAGGGTCCCAGTTACATCCAACAACAAAATGTAAAAGAAAAACTTCACAGCACAACTCTAAAGGAAGATTTGAAACTTTTCTGAATAAGACAATTTACACTTTTACACTTTAAAAAAAATACAGATTAAAGTGTGCATCAACTTAACACTTGTTCAAAACATTGCAAAATGTTATGCAACTACCACCCCCCACCCCGACACAAACACCTAAAGATTCCTACTGGGTGAGGTAGATGCAAATGGGTCTTCATCCTCAGGATCAAACATTTGTGACAAGGAGGTGGATGGCTCCTCATCCTGGCCTGTGGCAGAGGGCGCTCCAAAATATTTCACAAGTGCCCCTGAATTTGCATTAAAATACATAAAACATCTGAAACATCATCCATCAATGGTATCATTATCAAACATTCATTATTCTATACCTCATAATGATTATTTAATAGGCTTTAAACTGTTGTTGAGAAGTATGCTTATGCAATACATACTGAGTAATTACAGCAGGCTAACATAACTTTCCCAAGTAATGTGAAGTGTCACTATTTCAGAAAGATGTTGTGTCAACTCCATTTGTGGTACTTTATTGGAACACCCTTATTAATAACCTTGATTGGAAAAGGATTTGGACTTTACCAACCAGATACATGATAAATAATAAAGTAAGAGAAGTATAATTTAAAATTATTCACAGATTTTACCCATCCAAAATCTATTAAATATAATTTGCCCTTTTTTGTGATGAAAACCCAGAAGATGTCTTTCATTTATTTTGGTCTTGCCCCTTCTCGACTCAATTATGGAAAAGTATTTGCATTTTGATTTCTACTTTTATTGAACCAGATCTCTCACTTTGCTTTGAACATGTTTTGTTTGGCTTCACTGGCTACCTAACTGTAAGGATGGTACCTTTCTGTGGCCCGGTTTGTGTCTGTGTTCCCTCGTGCTCCCTCGTTAGTTCTATTAGTGCCACCCTTGTCTCGTCCCAGCTGCTTGTAATCACGTCTCGTCTTGTCCTTGTATATAAGCCGTCTGTCAGTCTTGTTCGTTGTCGCGTCGTACTCGTTGGGTCTCCTGTGTTCCCCCTGAGTCTTCCTAGTTCCCTGAGTCTCCCGTGTCTCCTGAGTCCTCCTGAGTTCCCCCGTGCCTTCTTCCTGTTTCATGTAAGTTTTGCTGCCCCGTAAGCTTGTTATTTTGTATCTTTATTTTACCATTAAATTCCTATTTTTGTATTTCTGCCGAGTTGAGTCCCTGTCTACACTCTGGGTTCGCTCCTTCCTAGCAAATCCTAACACTAACGTCTTAAAAAAAACAGTTCTATATTGTTAATCTTATTATATACCTCGCCAAATGGCATATTCACAAATGTCGTTACACTAATCAAAAAACGCTTATCTCAATTTTTGAAAATGAGGTCAAACAAAATATCACAACAAATATTCCACCAATACAAAGGCCATTAAAACTTGCACCGTATGTGCTCTCTTTAATATATTTATGTAATATGTTATTGTAAAGTATTGTCTCAATGTTTGTAACCCCCTGGCAGCTGTTATTTCATTACTGTATACAGCAGTTTATTATATTGTTTTGTATTCTTTCAATAACGATAAAAAAAGTAATGTGAAGTGATTTAAGGACTGTCATACTGACATAGCAAATGTCTAACAACTAAGACAAAAACAAACGGGCCTACCAGTACATATACATTTAGTCCAATTTGTGAAATATTCATAATAGGAGACAAATCTATACCTCTTCCAATTAATGGCTATTTAACACGGTCCAAGCTACATCACAAGATCATTGCCTTTAGTAATTATAGTAGCCTACTATTACTTTCCCATGTAGTAGTTTAGGTTTAGAAGAATTTCAGTTTTCAAAACCGTAATATTTTCTGCTGAAAACTTCTGCTGAAAACTAAACGTCATCCTACGTGGTTAGACGTAGACAACAGTTAGCGTCTTATGTTATTAATTAATAGTAAGCCTGTCGTGCAACAGGCTATAGCCTACATAATACAACACCTTTCATTCTCCAAGAGATGACACATCTGTATAGTGTTTGTAAGTATGTATGTATGTATGTATGTATGTATGTATGTTTGTATGTATGTATGTATGTATGTATGTTTGTATGTATGT